AAGAATGAATGAATGGTAAGTTCCCAAAGGAACTAAAGTTGAAAAGGAGGTTACTGTTTATCAGTAATGCTAAAGAGAATAGTAACAGGAACCTGTACCAATCATACACAATGTTGAGAATAACAATCTCATCATCATACCAAAAGGTATCAAATGAAATCAAGTGGAGTTGTCTTTCTGAATTACTTCAAAGAAATAACAAGCAAAGAATCAGCTGATACCCAGACAATGGTTTCTTGTTCTGACTTATTTCAAAATCCATCAATTTACTACGTTAACTTCATGACAGTGTCTTAACAATCATACAGGGAACTCTTTATTATTTGAATACTGCCAAATATTCCCAATTATAAAATTACTGATGGGATCTGCTGTCCTTGGTTGTTTATGATTATATTTTAGTTATCTTTCTGAAATCAAAGTATATATTCAGTACTTCCCTGTGTTTTTTTTAAATCTTAAAAACAGTTTTACAAAAAGTAACACTCCTTACCATTTGAATCTTCCCACAATCGTTCTATGCAGACTATATGAGGTTGCAAATTAGCTTCTGCAGGTTCAACATATACATAGTCTCCAACATGGTACATGCTGTTCTTAAAGCTGCAATCTTGGCTGTATGTTCTGTGTAAATTAGACAGTCCTGATCCTCCAGAAGAATCTTCACTCTTTTCAGCTTCTTATTCAACATACAAGAAAGCATGGGAAATTATTTCTACTCAATTTAAGGGCTCACAGGACTCTTTACTTTGTAATATTTTGCGTGCTGCTCCCTTTGGGGGTTCTGTATAGGCTTTTTCTTGACCAGCATTATCAAAAAAATTTATTTGTTTAGTGTATTTATATCCTACTTTATCCCCACAAACAAACTCAATATAATATACATGGGAGGTCTCCTCTCATTTTAATCCAAAGAGCTTTTTGAAGTAGATTGAACTAAAGGTTAATAACTGATTCAAAACAATTTATGTTTAAGTGGGATTTAAGTGCTGGACCCATATCCAACACTTACCACTTACGCTACCAATCTCAAGCAATATTCAAATTTCTGTAAAGCGAAAGGCAGATTACACGTCACATTTAATCATAACATGGTTATTTGGTTTTGAAGTTGAATAAATCCAAGCAACTACAGTTTTGAACTATTTCTTCACAAATGAATTACACACATGAGAAAGATCACTCAGATGAGTGATTCAGAGAATGTGGTAAAACCAAAACATTTGGAAATTAAAGGTATAACAATAATGTAGAAGCTATATTAGTTATAAGGTATAAGTTTATTATGGAAGCTATCTATTAGATATTCACTGTCTTGAATGCATTTGGGTCAATATAAAAGGGGAAAAATGACATTGCCATAGATGTATACTTTGTGTACACTTTGACAGCAAGCAACTAAATTTCATTTTTAATGTGTGCCGTTGTGTCCACAGGAAAAAATGACAATAAAGGTTATCTAATCTAATCTAAAAATCTACTATAGGCCATCCAACCAAACAGAGGAAATAGATGAACTTTTTGCTAGTCAGTTAACTAAGGTATGTAGGAAGCACATCACAATAGTAATGGGGGACTTTAATTACCCTGACATCAACTGGGAGACAAACTCTGCACCAAGTGGAAGATCAAACAGATTCCTGACAAACCTAGCAGACAACTTTGTCTCCCAAAATGTAGAGAAAGGAACTAGGGGATCAGCCATATTCTCACTAATGAAGCCACAGGAACCTTGGGAGGGAGTGATCATGCAGTACTGGAATTCAACATTATGCAAGCACAAGCAATAGCACACAGTCAAACTACAGTCTTGGACTTTAAGAGAGCTAATTTCAATAAACTTAGAGAGAGCTTGGGAAGGATTCCATGGATGAGAATCCTCAAGGGAAAAACAACTCAAAAAGCTTGGGAAATTTTGAAAAGTGAGATTATAAAAGCCCAGTCTAGCACAATACCAACGAAGAAGAAAAATAACAGCTGTCAAAAGAAACCAGCATGGCTGCATAAAGAACTCTCTGATAAATTGAAAGACAAAAAGGATAAGTATAAAAAGTGGAAAGAGGGACACATAACTAAGGCAGAATATCAGCAAATAGCCCGAGCCTGCAAAGATGAAGTGAGGAAAGCTAAGACTCAAAATGAACTAAGGCTTGTGACCAAAGTCAAAAATAACAAAAAAAGCTTCTTTCAACATGTAAAAACAAGAAAAAAGTTAAGGAAATGATTGGTTCATTAGTGGGAGAAAGTGGCAAGAAGGTGGTGACAAGTAACAGGGAGAAAGCAGAATTACTCAACTCGTTTTTTGCATATTTACGCAAAGGGAAAAAACAGACCAACCTATCAAAAACAGTACCATAAAAAACAGATTAGAAACACAACTTAAGACAGGCAAGAAAATAGTAAGTGAGCACCCGTCCACCCTATATGAGTTCAAATCACCAGGATCAATGGACTACACCCCAAGGTTCTGAAGGAACTAGCAGATATGATCTCAGAACCACTGAACTATATCTTTCAAAGATCCTGGAGCACTGGGGAATACCAGAGAACTGGAAAAGAGCTGATGTAGTTCCTATCTTCAAAAAAGGAAAAAAAATGGAACCAGGAAACTACAGACCTATCAGCCTGATCTCAATACCTGGGAAGATTCTGGAAAAGATAATCAAGCAACGAATCAGCAAACACTTACAGGCAAACCAAGTCATTACTAAAGGCCAACGTGGGTTTGTCAAAAACAGATCATGCCAGACAAATCTTATTGCATTCTTTGACCAGGTGACAAAATTAGTGGACCAGAGGAATGCTGTGGATATAATTTACTTAGACTTCAGTAAGGCATTTGATAAAATAGACCACAACCTACTACTTAATAAGATAGAAAAATGTGGGTTAGATAACATCAATTATTTGGATGAGGGGATAGATGGGGAACTCATCAAATTTGCAGATGACATCAAGATGGCAGGAATAGCCAATACTCCAGAATATAGGCTTATGATACAGAAGGATCTTGACAGACTTGAACAAAATTAACAAAATTAAATTCAATGGTGAAAAAAGTAAGGTTCTACATTTAGGCAAGAAAAACCAAATGCACAGGTATAGTATAGGTGGTATCTTCCTCAATAGTAATAACTATGAAAGGGAGTCCTAGTGGACAATCACTTAAATATGAGCCAGCAGTGTGCTGCAGCTGCCAAAAAAGCCAACACAGTGCTAGGCTGCATTAACAGAGGGATAGAATCAAGATCACGTGAAGTGTTAATACCACTTTACAATGCCTTGGAAAGGCCACACTTGGAATACTGCATCCAGTTTTGGTCACCACGATGTAAAAAAGATGTTGAGACTCTAAGGAGTACAGAGAAGATCAACAAAGATGATTAGGGGACTGGAGGCTAAAACATATAAGGAACAGTTGCTGGAATTGGGTATGTCTAGTTTAATGAAGAAAAGGATGAGGGGGGACATGATAGCACTGTTCCAATATCCCAGGGGCTCCCACAAAGAAGAGGGAGTCAAGCTATTCTCCAAAGCACCTGAAGGCAGGACAAGAAGCAACGGATGGAAACTAACCAAAGAGAGAAGCAACCTAGAACTAAGGAGAAATTTCCTAACAGTTAGAACAATTAATCTGTGGAACAACCTGCCTCCAGAAGCTGTGAATGCTCCAACACTGGAAGGTTTTAAGAAGAAACTGGACAGCCATTTGTCTGAAATGGTATAGGGTTTCCTGCCTGAGTAGGGGGTTGGACTAGATGACCTCCAAGGTCCCTTCCAACTTTATTATTATTATTATTATTATTATTATTATTATTGTTGTTGTTGTTGTTGTTGTTGTTGTTGTTGTTATTATTATTATATAGAAGCTATATAGTTGTGTTATAGCTTACATTACTGTTAAAATATCAACACGAACATATTATTTTAATGTTAAGCCTGCCTGTTCCTCTAATGAGACTACAGTAAATTAGCTCAGAATGTATATATGGAATCTTTATTTACAGTGTTGTTTTACTGGCAATGCAAACACCCTTCAACGTGTGAAAACGTTGTTATATAAGAAACCAGTGAGATTTATTGTAATCGTTTTACGGTTGATTATGTCAGTATTTATAATTACCTGACGATTTGTATAAGATAAATAAGAGGAAGACAAGTTAATACACATCAAGAGCTTCTGACAGATCTGTTCAGGGACGTCAAAAGAACCGTTTCAAAAAATCTTTACGTTTGCCAATGCTTCTTTCCTAGGACTGAGACAAAATGACTGGCCCCAGGTCACCCTGCTGGCTTTGTGTCTAAGGGACTTAGAACTCAGGGTCTCCTGTTTTCTAGCTTTATATCTTAACTTCTATATTTACCAGAATAAATTCAGCTCAACTATTTCCCCGTTGTCGGCTACTCACTATCTTTGCATATCTAATCTTACATAAATCTAACACAGTAAGAAAACTTGAACTCCAAAATCTAACCTTAAGTCAGGCTGTGGTCTTACTGAAACACTATCTCAGGGGTTCTCAACCAGGGGTGCAAGATGATATTCCAGGGGGTGCAAAAACTTTCAAAATTATAGTGTATAGGCATAATTTGTTGCCGTTATTTCGAACTTTTGTAAGGGGTGTGCAAATATATCAGAAGCGTTCTAGGGGCGCGGGGTATAGAAAAGGTTGGGAGCCACAAAGCTGTCTGAAGTTAAACAAACAATTTGACACAAAATCATTCTTATCTTCTGTACAGCTAGTTTGAAGAAGCTAAATTACTGATGCTGCAAAAAAGTGGTTGTCAAACAACCAATCTTAAATATGTTACTGTGAAATACCACTAAAAAACCACAAATGTTGATGTTGACTTCCTGACTAAATATCACATTCTTTCAAATAATTCTTTTAGGGAAGATTCTATTAAAAGTTTGAGAATTTCTGCAGAATAATCTATATTTCATAATATTGTTTGCCTTACACTTAAAATTATTTTCACTGAAATTCTTGCTGAGTATCAACATATGAAGGTAAACGACAGCTAAATTATGAAGAGAGAATTTTTTAAGAGACTTCCCTATATTTAAAATTATATAATTATTCTTTATTCTACAGTGACCATTGCGTAAACTAACTGATAATAGAAATCAATCTTTATCCAATCTCCTCTTATAATGATTATATGTCAATAGAAGTATCACAATATACACCATACAGTTACCTCTCTTCTCCTCTTCTCTTTTAAGTTTGTCCTCTTCCATTTCTTTGGGAAGTTTTTCCTTCTTCTCTTTTTCTACATCATTATGTAGATGTTTAGTAGTGTAGCTAAGGGCTGGTGATAACAAGATTTCACCATTTTTGCAGAGTTCATCACGGATTTTGATAAAGAACTGCTGAAGTTCTACAGCATCCTCATAAATCTCTGAATCCGTCCTTTAAGGAAAAGAATAGTATATATAATGCTAACATATAAAACATAGTAATTTGAGCATGAACACATCATAAATATTAATTGCATCTTACACTGTTTTTCTGGTCCTGCTTTAGATGTAATGACAAATGTCAAAATGAAATGAAATAAAAAAAAACTATAATAGTTTTAAAAAATATTTAGCGTATGTTACTATTAAGGAACATCTAGAACTAAATGTAGGTAAATGTTACAAGCTAAATGTTATAAGAAAATTCCCATTAGAATGACGTCTATTTTTTCATCAAGGCTTACACATAAAATAGACATCATGTAAAACCTTCAAAGGCCTTTAAAAATTAAAAGTTTTCTTCAGATTTATAAATCAATCGTATCCCACATCTTGTAAATGCTTTATTATAAAAAGAGCTTTTCTTTGTTTTAGTCATAGTCAGAGCAAAAGTAAAGTTTTACTTACCGGTTCATTCTCCTTGCGCGTTCCAACACTTCAAACATGTGTTCTTGGAATAAATCCAACCTTCTATAGCGATTATTCTCTACATTTCTCCGTATGATATCAAAAGTCAAAGGAGGCTTGTTTGGGAAACTGGGGTCAACAGCAGGAATTTCAGCTAAAGAGTCACTATAGCATCTCCCTTCATCATCCTGGTGACTCATTACAGAGACAAAAAGATTATGTATAAGTTCTTGGATCAGCAGAGTTACATTTGGGACATGAGAATCTTCATCTCCTTCTATATCTCTTCTAGTCTCAAGCAAAACTTTATGTAGCACAAGTGCATCTTTGTAAATCAAGGATTCTGGTTCATTGTAAGTGCAGGCATTATTAAACATCATTACAAAATCTTCAACCATAGAATCAATATCCTGATATTTGTTGGCCATCATGTGACTTCTGATTTTCTCCATATCAACTGGCTTTTTAATTGTCAGATAATAATCAGGAAGCTCTGACCGCGATGGAAGTCGTAGAAAAATAGCACTGAGTCTTCTACCTCGTTTATCTGTATAGTTCTTCACAGCTTCGTATACTTCATTAAGCTTCTGTTGCATTGGAGTCATATATTTTGATTTTTTAGGAGAGATGCCAGTTTTTCTACCTAGGGAGATAAAATTAAATTTTACCATTTGCAACTTTGGTTGCTCATATATTAATAGGATTTTTGATCAGGCAGATCTAATTGATAAGACTTTTTATACTTTTCAACATACTCTGAATGTTCCTTCACAGTGGAACACATGACATAGTACGTTCAAAGTAGTGAGAGAAAAACTACTGTAAGGGTCACATTACTTTTGTCAAAAGTAAAAGACATACTCATTAGACTCCATGATCACAGGAATTTAACAGATAATTATATCCACATCTTGAGATTCTCTATTGCATATGATTTTGTGACTGCACAAAAAAATAAGACTGAAACCTATGTATGAGTCATATTTGATAAACTTTTGAGTCATGGCACTGACCACTAAGTATAAAATTCAGTACTAATATTTATCTCTGAATCATTAACAATTTGTATTACTAACTAAAGCCATATTCAGTATTAAAGGTTTACAGTAAATGCTATTAAAGACAAGTATGATTTTACAAAGTTAAAACAAAACACAGTTGTTGTAATAATAATTACTTCTTTATAAATATCACTTATAATCATTTGCTTCCCTAAAATCTCAAAAGTACCTTATTATTGCCTCGTTTTAGGGCATTTTGCAACTTTTCAAGGATGAGAATGGGAGCAGTCTCTGGAAGACAACGTTTATCTGAAATCTTAGAAGGCTGGATTGCCTTCATCTAATATTAACTGTTAGAATGTCCTATGTCCCAGAATCTAGCATATAATTTAATACACGTAGTTAGTTAGTTTAATACAAGATTAGCAAGCAAAAGAGTCAATATAATTGAGAAAGATTCATAAACAAAAATAAATGAGTAATAATACTCATTTGCTCAAGAGCTATGATGGCACAATGGTTAGAATGCAGTATTGCAGGCTAACTCACTGCTCACTGCCAGGAGTTCAATTTTGACCAGCTCAGGATTGACTCAGCCTTCCATCCTTCCAAGGTCGGTAAAATGAGGATCCAGATTGTTGGGGGCAATATGCTGACTCTGTAAACTGCTGTAAAGCACTGTGATATGGTATACAGTGAGGGGAAAAAGTATTTGATCCCCTGCTGATTTTGTATGTTTGCCCGCTGACAAAGAAATGACCAGTCTATAATTTTAATGGTAGGTTTATTTTAACAGTGAGAAACAGACTAAGAACAAAACAAATCCAGAAAAATGCATTTCAAAAAAGTTATAAATTGATTTGCATTTTAATGAGTGGAATAAGTATTTGATCCCCTATCAATCAGCAAGATTTCTGGCTCCCAGGTGTCTTTTATACAGGTAATGAGTGGCGGTTAGGGGCACTCTCTTAAAGGGAGTGCTCTTAATCCCTACTTGTTTCCTGTATAAAAGACACCTGTCCACAGAAACAATCAATCAACCAGATTCCAAAGTCTCCACCATGGCCAAGACCAAAGAGCTGTCCAAGAATGTCAGGGACAAGATTGTAGACTGGAATGGGCTACAAGACTATCGCCAAGCAGCTTGGTGAGAAGGTGACAACAGTTGGTGCGATTATTCGCAAATGGAAGAAACACAAAATAAGTGTCAATCTCCCTCAGTCTGGGGTTCCATGCAAGATCTCACCTCATGGAATTTCAATGATGAGGAATCAGCCCAGAACTACACGGGAGGATCTTGTCAATGATCTCAAGGCAGCTGGGACCATAGTCACCAAGAAAACAATTGGTAACACACTACGCCGTGAAGGACTGAAATCCTGCAGCGCCCCTGCTCAAGAAAGCACATGTACAGGCCCGTCTGAAGTTTGCCAATGAATATCTGAATGATTCAGAAAAGAACTGGGTGGTCAGATGAGGCCAAAATTGAGCTCTTTGGCATCAACCCAAATCACCATATTAGGAGGAGCAGGAATGCTGTCTGTGATCCCAAGAACACCATCCCCACCATCAAACATGGAGGTAGAAACATTATGCTTTGTAGGTGTTTTTCTGCTAAGGCGACAGGACAACTTCACCGCATCAAAGGGACGCTGGACGGGGCTATGTACTGTCAAATCTTGGGTGAGAACCTCCTTCCCTCAGCCAGGGCATTGAAAATGGGTCGTGGATGGGTATTCCTGCATGACAATGACCCAAAACACACAGCCAAGGCAACAAAGGAGTGGCTCAAGAAGAAGCACATTAAGGTCCTGGAGTGGCCTAGCCAGTCTCCAGATCTTAATCCCATAGAAAATCTATGGAGAGAGCTGAAGATTCGAGCTGCCAAACATCACCCTCGAAACCTTAATGACTTGGAGAGGATATGCAAGGAGTAGTGGGACAAAATCCCTCCTGAGATGTGTGCAAACAAGAAAAGTCTGACCTCTGTGATTGTCAACAAGTACTAAGTCATGTTTTGCAAAGGGGTCAAATACTGATTTTACTCATTAAAATGCAAATCAATTTATAATTTTTTTGAAATGCATTTTTCTGGATTTTTGTTGTTGTTATTTTGTCTCCCACTGTTAAAATAAACCTACCATTAAAATTATGGACTGATCATTTCTTTGTCAGTGGGCAAACATACAAAATCAGCAGGAAATCAAATACTTTTTCCCCTCACTGTATAAGTCTAAGTGCTATTGCTAATAGAGGTTATTACTCATTTATTTTTGTTTATGAATCTTTCTCAATTATATTGAAAAAGTAAGCAAAAGTTAGGAGTTTGTACTTCAAATAACCTATTTCAATTATTCAACAAGCTTTCTATCCACAGCATAAACATTACCTATTCAAAACAGAATTCACCAACATTACTTACTTAACTTTAATTTAGGGGAAGCAACCTCATCATCTTCAAGCAGAGGTCCCAATTCTTTTCTCTTTTCTTTAAGAATTTTCTCCAAAATATGAGCATCATTGTAAACCTATTAATCATCAACAAAAGTAAAATTAATTCATAATCAAAATGTATAAAGCAATAAATTTATGTGTAAATATGCTTTTCAACCATGTGAGCCTGATGTTTTAGCTAGTACTAGTGTACATATTCATGTAATGGCATGAATGGTAATGGCCAGGAGGCTGATTAATTAATATTTATAACATATTTAAGGGTTAAAGTATTCCTTAAATTGTACTAAGAAATTCGCACCAGGTAGGCCCACTCTAACCCCCTAAGTGTAAATGTAAGAGTATCTTTCTAGAATAAGTATAACGTGGAAGGCCTTTTCTTAAGTGAGATTAAGAGCCTCATTTCAAAATCTTACTTATCAGATTCTAAGTTTCCATGTTCACAGTACTGGTTATTTCATATCCTAACAAAGTTACATATAATGTAAAAAAGTAGATAGGAACTTGTTTTTAATCCTTTTGTTAGAATGTCCAAAGCCAGTACTGTAAGACTGAATGATTCAGGACCGATGAGAAGAAAAGCTAAATAATCCATTGAATCTGCTATTAATCTGCCTTTTAAAAAGAGATAGTGTTTAAAAGTTCATGCAGGTAAAATTGCTAGTAGTAACTAGCTTGGTTGGTGCAGTGGTATCATGGCATTCAACTCCTTTGAAACTCATTGAATTTGGTACTCAACGCATTTTGACGTGAAGATTTTGTCCTGGTACTCATCGTTGGTTTGGTTTTCAACGCACAAACTAGAACTTGTTGGTATCAGCTGTCTTGTAACTCACTACATTATTCCTTATGGGAAAAATCTGTTTGGTATTCATCATTTTTGGTACTCATTGTGCCGCCCAAAACCAATTAATGAAGAGTACTGAGGTACCACTGAAATCTATTATCTCCAGTATCAGCATGATAAACTGATTTACAGATTACTATCAAGCAATAATAATCTGATTGCAAACAGTAATCTGATGCAATAGACTGAGAATTATTTCTAAAGGACTAAACAAGCCCAGTAACTGCAACCATTTGTACCCTATCCAACAACCCCTGATGGTTAAGATGCTTAAAAAATGTATAGGCAGCTTCGAACAAAACCTACACAAGGAGCCTACACAAGTGTGAAAAAATACTGTGAAATTCATATAATAAAGCTTCAAAAATAAGTTTTGTTTATTGTAAATTACAGAGTAAGTTAAGGGAAATATGGATAACTTTTAAAATATCTTTCCTTCAGGTATACCTGTGAGCCTTCTTCGTTATAATGTCTCGCATTTCGAAACATTAACCTCATATCTTCTATCATAGCTTCTTCTCCAACATATTTATCACTACGGATATTATACTCTATTATTTTTAAATCCATTGGATCCAAAATAATCTTGTAATAATCTGGATAGTCTTTTTTGGAGGGTTTCACCATAAACAGCTCACATAGCCTTCGGCCTGTTCCAGGTTCTCGTGCTTCAAGAACAACATTGTATAAGATTTTCATTCGCTGTTTCTTTATATTCTTCTTACTGTTTAGATTAAAGAGAGAGGAAAAGGCTACTTTAATCTTGGTATATGCAACCTAAATCATTTGCTATTTTCTTCTGTGAAAATCTATTTATTATATTATACATTACCTAGAGTCTATAGGCATGAATAAATGAATAAATAAAGTGAAAAAGGTCTAATGGAAAAAAGAAAGGACCAGAGACTTAAAAGTTTAATAACTTCTACTAAAATTGTATATGTATGACTTTCTTGACATAGTTGATTAGATTTACATAGTTAATTTTTAGAGAAGCATGAGTATCTTGGTTTAATTTAAACAAAGCTGATATACTAACCCAGAATAGCAATCTTAACATTGCATTTCTTTCCTTCTGGGAAAAAGTATCTTACTTCCTAATTACCTAAAATCATTACTTAGACTTTTAGGAAGCTTGAAGCATATTGGCAGTGAAGATCTAATATTTTAAATCTAAGACTGAATAGGATTACATCAAAACAACAATTAATAAACTGTTCACAACAATACAGAAATAGAACCCAGGCAATTTTAGGGATCCTCCTGGATTCATGGCTTCTATCCCGAGAGCAGGTGGTAGCCATGGCCAGGAGGACTTCATTTTATCTGCCAATTGCACCCATTCCTGAAATGGGAGGCGCTGCCCACAATCACTCATGCATTATTCATCTCCTAAGTGGATTCACTGTAATGCATTCTACACAGAGTTGCCCATGAAGATCATCTGGAAACTGCAACTGGCCCAGAATGCAACAGCATGGGCAATTATAGGCACACCTTAGTACTCCCTTTTTATAACTCTGCTCCACAAGCTACAATGGATCCCAATGTACTTCCCAGTGGCATTCAAGGTACTTGTTGTCCCCTAGGCCCTTATGGCACGGGAGGAGGTTATTTTGCAGGACCACCTCCTCTTATGGGACCAGTCACACCACTTGCCAAACTTCCTAACTTCTGACCCTGCTGGTCTTTTGTAAAGCGTTGAGGGCCTGGATGTGTAAGGCCTGGGGTTCTTGGAGTGAGATAGCCAGCTGAAATTGTTTTGTTTAGGTTTATCCTCAGTGACCATTGCTGGTTTTTTTTCATTCTTGATAATTTTTTTAAAATTTGTTTTAATATGTTGTTAGCCACCCATAGTCACATTTGTGAGATTAGCAGCCACATACATCGACTTAAAGTACAATTCTTTGTAAAATGTTCATGGTTGCTTTGAAAGCTGTTTTTGTTGATCTCTGTGTGTATGTGTTTGTGCACAGACAATACTTGTATAGCAAAGGGGTTGTGCACATACAATCATGCAGATTTAGCTTCTGAAGCAATTGTGGCAGATTTTCAAAGGACATAATTATTTTAGTGTTTCTAAGAAAAGTGAATTGTTTGTGTCATGATGTTGTTTTTTTTACCGAAGGTCTCTTTCTAATACTTTGCAACAGTTCTCTAAATTACACTTCTCAGAGTAATGTATTGTGTTTAAAAATGTTGTACAAAATTTCAACAGGATATAGCAGATAATTAGATTATGCATTTTTTTGCCTTAAAGACATTACTGATATTTGGTGAGAATAATTGAGTGTTAAAGCAAACCACTATTGTGCCAAACACAGATATATATAATAGCAAATACCTTTTCCTTTTTGAACTCCCAGCATCTGATGTGGCAGAAGATATCATACTATCACCATCCTCAATTTCATCTCTTCTAGCTAGCTCTTTCTTCTTTGCCTGAAATAGAAGCAATCACAGATCCAATTCACATTACTGAATATGCTAAAATGTGTGAATATTAAATAGCCACATTCTTTCTGCAAGCATCGGTTTCAAGCATTGGGGAAAAGTTTCAAGTAAAGCATGTCTAGTTCATTTGCATCAAGGGAAAATATTAAATATTGGACATACCTAAATAAACCATTCTAGAATAATAAATTAAGTGAAAACTTTATGCTTAAAAATACCATCACACAATGATTTATTAGCATTGTTACAATTAATTAGCATAGGACCACTAAAAGTCCCTTCATTAAGAAAGTGCGTAAGATCATGCTTAGTTAAAAATTGGGAATATTTCCATTACTAAATAGAAGAAAAAAGATTTTTAAAGACAATAGTTTCTGCCAGTTTAGATAATGAACGAACCAAATACTAACTTCTTTGAATATAAGCCCCAGAATCAGAGTGTGAAGTTTTACCTGCATAACCTGTTGCATTTTCAAAACTCTCTTATAAATGGCTGAGTTTGGAACATTATAACGCTTTGCATTTTCAAACATCAAGTTTAAATCGCATTCTAAATGGTCGAGGGTTTCGTATTCGTGATTTTTCAGTTTCGTTCTGTAGAAAAGACAATCTTTTATCATTCCTGTAAATGATATTTGGTATTTTAAAATGCAGAATGTTTTCCACCCAATCTCACATTTAATTTCTACTTGAGGGTTAAGAGATATACATTTTGCAAAATGATTTCGTCAGCACAAGAAAAAATAAATTAGAAGCAATATTCTTTATTTGGTATTACTGGGTTTGGAACACACTTTAATGCAAACTAAGAGAAGTCAAGAAAGATGACATGCTCCAGTTCTTAAAGGTGTGGATGCAATACTTCATTTGCAAATGCCTACAAAATAAAAAATCTGATTGGTTCTTCTAGTTAGTAAATAACACTACTTTTCCTTATAATTACAACATGAATAAAGATAATAATGAATGAGTAATTAATTATTTTATTTAATTCTATTGGATAATTTTAAAGCTTATTACATTATTTTCTACAAATAATAATTTTTGCCCAAATGTTAACTAAATCCTAATTTCATATTAGATTTTCATCTGTTTTTAAATTTTAACTAGCTGTTAAATTTTGGGCATTTTAGGCACGATCTATGGACTTCATTGTTGGATGGTTTAAAAATAAAAGAAACAAAAAATAAATAAAATTATTTTGGTACTTATGGTCATGGCATCGTATCTTAGTATATAAAAGAACTCTTCTTTCCTTTCAGTTGTTAAAACAACAAATTTAACATATGTAAAAATGCAGAATACCAGTTTACCTGATCTGCTGCAATGAAATAGGCATTTTGATTTGTTGATAATAATCAGGATATTTTTTCTTTGAGGGCAAATGAAAAAAGGGTTCCGATATAAGTTGGCCCTGGTTGTTTCGGCAGTTTCTAACTGTATCATAAAGCTGATAGAGAGGATTGGATGTATCCATAAATGAAGCAATGCTTTCAGCTTCAGATTCTCCTTCTTCATAACGGGCAGCAGCTAGGAATGACGAACAGAAATATATGCTGTTACTGTATTTTTCTCCTTTCCCTCTTCATATGTTCCAAATTGACTAAAGAGATCCTAAGTGAGAGTGTATTTAATAATTTCGATTCATAAAATGACAATACTTAAGTGTATATCTCATATTTTTAGACAAAGAAAAACAAATGGAATTTCTTAGCAAATATGAACAATGCTTCTTCAATTCCTACCAGCTAAAACAGCATCTTCATCACTTTCAGATCCATATTGCAGTGTCATGGTTATTGCTGATAAACGATCGCCTTGGACAGCTCTTTTGTTACTGTGAATTTTTAAAGGAAAGACAGGTAATAAATGAAAAATCCCTTATGATTGGAGTATAGCTATATTGGCACAGTATAGCAAATATAGGTAGCTCTTTTATAGCTGTTGCTAGGAAAGTTTATTTTTTTATTATAAACTTTATGCTGGGCTTTACAGGGTCTAATGCAAGGTTCTTTTGCCTCTCCAGAAGAAGCCTCTTGCAAGTTTAACATACTGCAAAGTGGTGGATTCCCAGGAGGGAGTGGGTGCATTTCAGAGGAGTAAGAAGCAACTCAGTCAAGATATTATGTGTGAGAGAAACAGGGTGAAGACAGCCCTTCCCTAATAGTTTACAGAGTATATTGTAGATGCAGATAGCAGAGTACTCAATCTGACAAGTTTATATCTATGCATGTGAAACAATAGAGAATTTAGCTTAGAAGAATCACCACATGTCTTTCTTTGTTATGAGCCTAGCAGGTGGCAACTTTTCAAACTTTTCAAAAATGAAGACATTTTAATTTTAAGTAAGGTTCCCTTTCTGCTGGATTTGAAAACCAGATGAGAAAATAATACAATAGCCATTGGGACAGTATTCTTAAGCGCTATTTGCTATACTACCTTAAAGAAAAAGGAACATGTTTAATATTACAAGCTCAATATTTCAACATAGCTATAATGTAGGTCAATTATTTTCTTCCCAGAGAGGTATGAAAAAAGAAAAAAAAAGTTGACAGATTGCTTCATGATGGATATGTTAGACATGGGTATTTATCTTTTGTCTTTGAGAAAATGTGCACTTTCTACTGAGTTAGTAAAAAGGGGCACTGAAAGGGAATTCTACTGAGAAAGTAATGCATTAGATTTAGATGAACATTCCCTACTTCCTGAACAATGAGGAAAAGGAAAGGAGAGCCTGGACATTCTTTCCTGAATAATATACTTGGTTACATTGTAGGAGAGTCATGTTAGTATCTATGCTGCATTGTTTCTTACATTATGGAACTTGAGTTTGTTAACTCTAACCAAAATCATAACCTTGATGTTTTCAAATATATTGTGCTTTATTGTTAAGCAATACTTAAAACAATTAACATTTATATTTTATGTTTTATGAGTTCTTTTATAAATACTGTATCTTCAGATAACTTTGATTATCATGGAAAGTGCAACAAACAAAATAATTGGTGCTGTTTAAAACTAACATGTAAATGGCAGACATATTACATTCTTACTCTTTTAAACTGAATCAGGCTTTCAGCAATAAAGAACTATATCTATGGAGAACCATAGAGCAAAATCTATGAGGTTCTTCATGATTGATGTAATGTAATATTAAAAATAGAAGGTACACTATTTTTAAGAACTGCTTATTTTGTATGATATTTTAGGTCATAAATGTCATCCTAAGAGAGGCATTAATCCCTTCCTAATATGAAATAATGAAAAAAAAATTCCCAAGAACTTACCTGTCACCTACAATTATTATATTAAGGGTGTCTATAATACATTAAACAATGTTCAATTGGTTAATCTACTAACTGACGGAACATAGCAACTCTAATTTCAAACCAAGACATATAATCCATCATCCTCTTATCTTTTGGGTTCAGTGAGCTGGCTAGCAAGACAATCTGACTGATGCACTACAGTCCCTCTAATTTCTCCAATACTGGCTTTTTGCACTGACTGAGCCAAAATCAAGCTTGGCTCATTCACATTCAGAAATACAGCTATATCAATCCCCTGCAGGAAAACATTTCGTGTTTAAATTTGATATGACCTCTTCTATGACACAACCGATAGATGATTATTGCAAATGTTATTACAGAATAATAATAACTAAAGAAAAGATAATTTCTCATAGCAATCTGGAGAGTATTATTGGCTTTTCAATTATAATTTAAAAATCCAGTCATCTACCAGCAAAACGAACAAGCAATCAAACAAACAAAAATTGGAGCGTTTGGGAATTCTGAAGCTACGTGAGTCCTGATCAGAATTTTGAGAGTTGCTCCATATATCAGAAAGGTACTTAGAAACTGGTACAGATGCACCTTCCCTTGTGGATGGCTTGATAGCAAACTCATTCAGAAGATTTAAAGGAAAGTGAGGCCTAAAATATATGAACCATGCATCCATCTATTATTTAACACATTTATATAGCCACCCATTTTATATCAAACTCTGGACAGCTCCCAACTAGCAATTATAACTTTAATAATAAAGCAACATAATACATGTTTATTAAAACCATAAATATTTAAAAAACTGGCATCAAAGTTACCAAATGAGACCATTCTTCTGGGTTTTTAAAATAAATGCTTACTTTTTTCTATATACATATAAAGCTAACAATTAATATTTGAGGGATAAACCAGCTTGTTGAAAAGATTAACTGACTGAACTATATCTAGATACTAAGGACTCACCGGAAATATTTATTAGCAGAATTTCTTTCATCAACAACACTGCCTTTACCCTGTGAGGAAGGACTTGTCAGCCTGGAAGCAGTCAGATTTCCAGTCCTTTATGGAGAATAAATAAGCCACAGACAGTGAAAAGAAGAAATCCACCAAAAAGCCAAAATAATACACAATTAAAATTCAGCTCTTTTATATATGTTTTGAAAGCTACAAAAGACTCCACCATTGCACTGAACAGATAAATATATGATTAAATGTTACTAAGGGTTTGTAAAATCAACATATTTTAGGCATAGTAATAGGGCTAATTTTTAAAGTTAAATTATTCCACCTATTGGAAGTAAATCCAATTGATTTCAGAGTCAAGTATGCATGGAAAAACAGTAGTCTCAGTTTTAAGTACTAACTCCAGAGAAAATGTATATCCAATTGCAAATATATATTAAGTAAAAGCACTCTTAATTGACACTGGGATGTTTTGGACTAAGTTATTAAAGACAAAAGATAAAAAAACCACATTGAGATCAATTTTAAAGCAAATTATGCAGCACAGAAGTAACAAAAGCCAGATTTGTCACAGTTCATAATAAAATATAAAGATAAAAGCTAGTGAACAATTTTTCATGTATTCAAATCTATTCAACAATTAGGAAGAATACTAAAACATAAAACACCCCCAAAATAAAAAGAATAGAGCGAACTCTTGTAGAAAAGCCTGAATTATGTTCTCTAATTCTAAATTTTCAGGACTTGAGGCCTAAAACTTTGCATCCTTATTTTTTTGCTGATCTCATTCATAATATAATATAATAAGCTCAACTTGGACTACATAATATAAACCAGTGTTTCTCAACCTCAGTAAACTTTAAGATGTGTGAACTTCAATTCCCAGAATTACCTAGTTAGCATATAGATATAGAATATGGTAGGGGAAAATTTAGACATAAATTTACTAAGAAAGTTGAAGGCATATGAAAAGAGAACAGACAGATTAAGAATGTGTAAAGCATTCGAAAGAGATGCATTGCAACACATGAGAGCAGAAACAAATTGCTAAAATAGCCATATTGTTTGTCAGGCTTCTGCAATGTACTGGTCCTAAATATTGCAATACACTTTGTATGAATGCTATGCACAGTCTTAATAGGAAGATTTAATATTCCACGATTCCCAATTTCTTTTAAAAAATTAAAACTAAGAAATAGATCTTCACTATCCCGAACTGTAGATTAAATTCATAAAATTAAGGAGCATGTGGTGTCATGTCTGCTTAATATCTTAAATCAGATCTTGCATCAGATCATAATATTGTGACACCTAATATTCTTTAATATACATTTTAAAAACCTCAACTATTTCTCCACAATTCAGTGCTACAGATAATTTTAATATTTAACACATAAAAGTTAAAATGTTAACTAAAAAAGAAAATATCAATACCTTTCTATATTTCTATTCTGCTTACAATACCTGACTCGGAGACTTGATTTAGTTAATTCTGAATGCTCAATTTCTGCCTTTTTCATATTAAATATTTTCTTTATTGCATTTGCATCCTGTTAAAGGAAGTAAAAAAGAAATCTTTGAATGAAGTTTTAAAAAGAATAGTCTGCAAGGATAGATAAATACATTAAGTTATCTTGCTTGTACTATGTCCATACATCTTAAGATATATAGCATACTGAGCCTACTATATACCTCCAGGTTGGCTGATCGTAGACAAAGTATGCTGGCTTGAAAAGTAGTCTCTAGATTAGAAATCAGAATAACATAAATAAATTTGGTCTAAAACTGAGTTTTGATTAAACTTGTGGCATATGGCCAAAACATTCCTAAATATTGTCCTTATCATTAGCATGAAATGCTGCAAGTGGCATGGATCCTATTAAATTTGGTATGATTCATTGGTAAAAATGTTATGTGAAAGCCATAATCATACTTATGTACATTTAAAAATAAGGTCTATTATCATTTAATTTTATTTAGTTCATACAATGTAACTGGAATCAAAGATTTATCTTGTTTTCTGCATTAACCAAATAATTGTTTCAGCTACAAAACCCAATCTATTATTTGACAATAAAATAACGGGGAGGATTACACACATCCCAGAACTGGTTTGGAGTTATTATCTAGGAAACGTTTGAGATGCAGGATCAAAGTGGCCAACTACTAAGTCTAGATCCCAAAATGTTTTTTTTTTCAAAAGGCAATTCGATTGTCTTTGTTTTTTTCCTTGACAACATTTCTGAACTGAAGAAGCTTCTTGGATGAGAAACGAAACGTCTTCAAGAAAAAAAAAACCCCAAAGAAAGTCCAGTTGCCTTTTGAAAAAAGCACTTTTTGGGACAACCTGAATGACTGAGAACCTCCATAGATACAAAGTTCAGAATTGATATAACTGAGTACCTTGACATTTTTAAGCACAAAGGAACTGGAATATAAAAGCTATTTGAAGTGGATAAAGAAGTAACAAATCACTATGGAAAAACCAAAAAGCAAATGTGACTCTCCAACCTTGGAAGCCTAAACCAGAAGAGCTTTGAAAAAGTCTTTTCTCCCTTCATTTCTATCAAATCACAGAGAATACTCTATAACTAAGAGTGAGCTTGTATAAATCCAATCTTCAGAATTGTTTTCTATTCTTATAATTACTGAATGTTAATATTATGTATGAGTATTGTGATAAAAGAAATTGAATTCTACTTTTTAACCAACCTTGAATACTTGAGATCCTGGTTCATTGTAAGTTTTAGCATTTTTAACTAACAGATCTATATCCTTGGTCATTGCATGAATGCTTTTATAGCTTCCATTCTACAAGTAAAAGCAGATTAAAAATTGAAAAATTATTTTCATATTAGATATGTATAATTTAAAATTTTGCTGTGTGGACTTCAGAGTTTTTCTGTCATTTACATAATCTATACCAGGAGTAGGCAACCTTGGCTCTTTTATGACTCGTGGACTTCAACTCCCAGAATTCCTGAGCCAGGCTGGCTCAGGAATTCTGGGAGTTGAAGTCCACGAGTCATAAAAGAGCCAAGGTTGCCTACCCCTGATCTATACAAACATAATGATAAAGTAATATATAATTAGAAACAAAAGCACAATATATAAAAGTATTTTTACCATATAAATAAAAAGAACAAAAATAAACAATTTAAGAAGAAATGTCACTAAATAATTCTTTCAGAAAACAAGAAAACAATGGTAGGAAACAATCTCTAAGCTAATTTTGTTTGGTTAATTTAATAATTAATCTAAGAAAGCTATAACCTAAAAACAAGTATTGCTTTAAATTTCATTACTCCAAATATTTCTTTTCAAAACTGTTTCACCTTCTGGATGTTGTGTTCAAGGCAATACAGCCAAATTTATACTGCACCTGTATCCGCTGAGCGATAGTCTTCAAATCTATGGGCTCTTTAATTATTGCATAATAATCAGGATATTGCTGAAAGTTTAAAAAAGAAATCCAAATGATGCCATGTGAAACATTGATTAACTATTCTATGTACTGTAGTTTTTCTATCTGAATTTCACAAGTTACAATCAGTGACATACACAATCTTTATACAGTGATGTCTACCCCCACTAGTCTTAATGACTACATTTTTTGATCATATAGATTGTTTGTTTACCAGTTACCACTATACATGCTTAGCATCAAGTTCTCCAGGCTTTGGAAGATCACTACCAAAATATCAAACACACTTTCTGTGGACATTTTGCCCTGTTTTCAAAGGAAGGTTTCCTTAGTACGATTCAGAAGGCGGCACTGCCATGTAGTCTTTACAGTCTGAAATAGTAAGTTTGTGTAAGATCTGAAACTGGAGGGTGGGTTGGTGATTGGAAGTTTCCTAGGAGATGTCAATTAATTGGTTGCTGGGAAAACCACTGCCTAATATTGAATTTCAGAAGCCCAGAGAACCCTAATATGTACAGCAAATTAGGGTTAGCTCTATTCTAAGAAATCTGCAAGTTACTACTTTGTTATCATTATTAAATCTATCTATCTATCTGTCTGTCTGTCTGTCTGTCTGTCTGTCCGCCCATCCCTCCATCCCTCCATCCATCCATCGTCTCAGGAACTTGGTGGCATTATCTTCAGTCAAAGAAAAAGAAAATACAGAATAATTTTAATATGTATTGTTAAGTGGAAAATGAGCCCAGACAACACGTTGTTTTACTAAGCACCTATGATTTGTAAAAATAGAAAATCAATAAAATTTTATATTAAAAAAATCATGAATAGAAACTACTGTGCTTGTTCAGAACAGCAAGCTCCTCAATTCCCATACTCAAGAATCACTCTGCCAATGAAGCCTCTATCTTGTCAGAATTCAGTCTTAGACTGGATTAGAACAGGCATGTCAAACTCGCAAAGTCACGTGACGTCGCACTACGTATTGCAACTTTCCCCTCATTGCCGGCAATGGGATAGGCGCAGTTTCAGTATGATGCATCCGGCCCATGGGCCAGCAGTTTGACATGCCTGGATTAGAAGACTTCCAAGGTCCCTTCCAACTTTATGATTCTATTGGCTCTCATTCATACCATCACTTCATCTGTGCATTTGGTTTTTCTTCCCTATGTTCTGTTGCCTATACCTGTTGGGGTGAAAATATACACTCATCTAATACTATATTTTTCTCTCTCTCTCAATTCACAATGGTTCTACCATGTGAGAAGGATCAAAAACTATTGAGATATCATGCAAGTTCAGACAGCTGTATTCTATTTTGTTGGATCCAAGGTGAGGTTGCTCAGGAGTGGGCAATCTACTGCCTACTTTAAGACTCAGCAGCACTACTTCCTCAACCTGAGAGCTTTTAACATTCTACAGATTCACCTAATCAATTCCCCTCAGCTAACTCAGATAAACCAAGACAAACAGAGGTCAAGAAAGCATGCAACTGGAAGAGAAGAAAAATCCAAGAGTTAAACATAAGATCTTATATGATGCTAAAGCAGGCATGTCAAACTGCCGGCCCATGGGCCGGATGCATCACACCGAAACCGCATCCATCCCATTGCCGGCAATGGGGAAAAAGTTCTGATGCGTCGCGCAACATCATGTGACGTCGTGAGTTTGACATGCCTGTGCTAAAGAGAGGGGAAGTTTAGGCCTGCCAGATTTGAATTGCCCTTTGCAGCTTCTTGCCTTTCTTGGGTGATGTTAAGAGATACATGATTAATAGATCCAGAAGGCTGTGATTTGAGATTTGCATGGCATATGTGTCTATGCTACGATAAAGTTAAAATTAATATTGGCTTCATAACCATTTTATTAGGCAAGCCATTTTGAGAATTTGGAATAAATATAAAATGAGATTAGGCCAATACCTTTCTGGCTTTCTCCCCTTGAAGTACATTATAGAAATGAAATGAGGACTGGATAAAAATGGTTAAGATATGCATGATTTATTGAAATACACTACAGATGATATCAAATTAAAATCTAGCGAGGAACTGACATTAGAATGTTTCAACTGTCAATGTTTTTTGTATCTGGAACTCATGGTGAGATTTAAAGTTAACAAGAAACTCTATGATTTTGAACATGATAAAACTGCTTTTGATATGGAACTGTGTACAAATGATGAACACCTTATTGCTAAAATGTATAAACTTTTGTTAAAATCAGGAATGGAAGATGAATTAGTTAAAAGCTGTGTGATAAGCTGAGCAAAATAAATTCAATATACCAATTGATCAGTAGGAAAACTTGTGGATAAGGGGACTGAACTTTTATAAAATTATAAATACATGGTACTTATCCCCAGACAAATTGGCTAAAATATATAAAGGATCTCCAAACAGTTGCTGGAAGTGTAAAACTCTTATATCACCTTTGGTGGTCTTGCAAAAGAGCTAAATAATATTGAATGAAATTAGCAATGTAATTTAAAAAAATCTTGAAAATTAATCTACAATTCAGATGAAACTTTTTTGTTAGGGTTTATGAATAAAATATGGGAAAAATCACATGGTGTTTTATATAACAGCAGCGCAACTTTTATATGCCCAGCATTGGAAAGATCCTACAATACCTACAGTAGAGGAATGATTAATAAAGATGACAGAACTGGCAACAATGGCTAAGTTAAAATAGACATTATATTATAGCATAGTTTTAAATTAAGAGTCAAAAGTGATCTTATATACTTGGAAGAAGTATGAAGTCATTTTCTTTTTCCTTTCTTTTTCTTTATACCACTTTTCATTTCTATCCCTATTCTCTTTTTATTCTTTATATTTTCTCTTATTACTTTATGTTGTTTTTATCCATATGCTTAAAATATTTTATAAAATTAAGTTAAATAAAGCAAAAAAGAAAGAAAGAAAGAAAGAAAGAGAAAGAAAGAAAAAAAGAAAGAAAGAAAGAAAGAAAGAAAGAAAGAAAGAAAGAAAGAAAGAAAGAAAGAAAGAAAGCAAGCAAGCAAGCAAGCAAGCAAGCAAGCAAGCAAGCAGGCAACAGGAAAATGGCATTTGCAGAGTTTTTCTCACATGGAATGGTTTTCCTATTTTCTGTCTCAATTCAAGCTGGTGCTTTTTATACTCATGTTTAGATTTCACTTCTGCTAATAGTCTTGTACTGAAATTGGTTCAATAAAGTGTATTATAATAATTATTTTTAGTTATTGTGACTCACCACTTTAGAGGGAAGCTTCTGAAAAAGTTCACTAATAAGATGGCCTGATGGATTTGTAGCTACAACTACTGCTTCAAGAAGTTGTTCAAGAATTTCTTTTAAATAACCTGGAGAAGACTGATACAAAAATAATCCTGTTAAGGCAATTGAATAGTAAGTGTAAATGTTAAAAAATGTGATTAATTCAGTTGTGCATACTTTGACTTGGCCATAGACCAATACAATATAAGTATTATATTTATTGTCAAGTAGCAAAGTTCATACTTACTATTTCAGAAATAGTCCCTTGATTGTCATGGCCTTCATCATCATCCTCGTCGTCCTCAGCCTCTCCCTTCTGAACAAATTCATTTTTTGTTCGTACATATAAATCCCACAATTTGCAGGCAGCCTTATATTCAGGAGAGTCTGGCTGTGTAACAGAATCAAAACAATATTCTTTGTTTTTAAATTAGCAAATAAACAAGGATACTTCTAATTAAAATAGGAAAGGTGGTTTGGACCCAGAGTGGGGGCACTTGCTTCATCTCTCACTGGCTCCTTAATTTAAGTAGGTGCTTATCGCTAAAACACTTTAGATCTAATCATTTTTAATAAGTAAAAGCATTCATATATACATATATAACAGTTATAGTATTAATATCAGATAAAATGTCATTACCTGTAATTATATTACAAATGAGAATAAAAGCTACTTGTTCTAATTGTCAGCTTTTGAGAGGCTTGAAATTACCTTTTCCACCTATTTACTCATACATAAATCAGTGCTAGAAAATATAATCCATGACTTTTAAAATAAAGCACTATCACCTTATAATAGGATTTTGCATTATTAAACAGCAGTTGGAAGTCAGCAGTTAAGACGTTCACATCATCATATTCCTCCATTTTTAACTTTTGTTGGATCTTCATTAAATCAATAGGCTGGGAAACTACTTCATAGTAATCTGGCTGATTTCTGTTGTAATAACATTTTGAAAATGCAATTAATACAAATATCACAGTGCCTCACAATAGGTGTTAAAATATATACTCCAGATTATTCTACTCAAAAGCCAGAATAATTTTGTCAATTATATCAACAGTTACATCAGCATAATAACAAAATAATGGATTTCTGACATCAGCACTGTTCCCTGAGCTATTTTTATTATAGGAAGTCTACATTTAACAATTGGGAATGGCAACTTCATCGCTAAACAACACCCTTGTTAAGTAAGACATCGTGTTATTAACAAACTTACAACCTTATTTCTGCCACAGTTGCTAAACAAGTTATCACATGATCGCAACTTGCAATTTTTCAGCTGGTTTCACCATTGACTCTGTTTGCCAAAAACTGGCTGTGAAGGATGCATATGGCAATCATGTGACCACAGGACACTATGATGGTTGAAAATATTTGCCTGTTGCCAAATGTCCAATTCTCAATCATGTGATTGCCAACAAAGATTCCCTGCATCTCATCTCCTTCTTAAAACTTGCAGAAGCCTCCTGCAAGGCTTTCCTGAATTCTCATAAGAGGTATGAAATATGAAAAGAGGTCTCTGTCATTAGTATTTTTGCACCTAACATATCTTCATGTATTATTGCAAGGGTTCCCAACTCCCGGTCTGTGGACCAGCACCGGTCCACAGCACGCCAGCAAGTGGATCGCACAAACAAGCAAAACTCCATCCTCAGGATGCAGGCAGTATTCAAAACGACACCCCCTCTGGTGTGTGTAAAAATCTTTCTCCATGGCACCAGTCCCTGGTGTCCAAAAGATTGGGGACATCTGTATTATTCTATTTATAAACCTTACTTCTGTTGAAATATAACAACCAAAACAGCTCCTTCTATTTATAAATATAAGTAACTTGATCATCCAATTTACAAACAAAAACATAAATACTAGGAGTACATCTAACATCTTCTTTTGAATCATTTTGTGCGTGGAACTCCTTCAAACATCTGCACTAAGTACAAAACAGGCTGGTTGAAGTTTGAGACCCTCCTGAAATGATCGAAATAGCCTTCTTGATGCTTTTGCAGTTTTGCAGTTACAGCTAGACATTTCACACTTAAAACTTAAAACACTTTATAGCAAATTGTTTTACATACTCTACATAAATAGTAAAACACCAAAATACATACATTAGATTACTTATCAATCAACATCTTAAGCTTACCGTCTTTTGGGGGCCCTAATGAACAATTCACATAAAAGCCTTCCTTGTTCATCTTTGTAATCTCTGATTGTGTTGTATAATTCATGGCAAACAGCAATCTAAAATAGTAGGGCAACAGGAAAAAATAAAAGTACATTTGCAGTGATATTGAGTATCTATAAAACACTATACTTCTAATGTTCAAAACATTTCATGTTTCAAAATCATGTAGCATTTTTCTTGTTTAGAGATGAGCCAGCAAGAACAAAGGACAACGCCATGTAAAATTTCATAAAATACTGAAGCCATGAGAGAGATGGGATACATTACTATTTTTGTCCAGAAAAAGAAGTTTAAAGAAAATGCCATCTTATACTGATCAAAGTGTGTGTGTGTGTGTGTGTGTGTGTGTATTTCAGGTATTTTTGTTATAAATGGAACCATATGCTATGACCTCTAAAAAATCTAGGATTTCTTAATTTGGTCAATTTGACCAGTTGGAAAAGAAAGAACCATCAATGAGCTAATAACACAGAGTCACGACCAGTAGCTAAGCTAACCTCTTTTATCTCTTCCCAATTCATATCTGTAGTCTTAAGTCATCCTTAACCATTTCATTGTCAAAGTTGTGTTTGATAGTCTCCCTCAACCATCAAGTTGCCAATTCCAATTACAAAGTCTGTGCACAAAATAAGCAATTATAACAGCCAAAATCAACCAAACCAAACTAAACTAAACAAAGAAATTCTGTTTTATTAATTTGAAGATAGACTGGGGGAAAATGAATTTTGTCCGTGAACATGTTAAACAGCTTATATACAAATAAAATTCATTTCCTAAAGGAACATCTAAAGGAGAAAATCCTACTGTACAGGAAAGGGGCCTCCACCTTTTGCCAGTTTACGTGCCACAGTTTGCCCAGTAGGGGAGGTCTACACTCCAAAAATGGGCAGGGACAATTTTTCTTAATTTACTGTTTTATATTATTATTTAAAATAAGGTTTGTTGTTATTTTATAACAAAAAATGTTTGGTTTTTCTGATACTAGAAATACTCCTAAGAAAAATAATCAGCACCCTTTTGTTTTATCAGCAGATATCCCTATGACACTAAGAAAAATCAGCCCAATATAAGGAAGGTGGCTAGGAGATTTTAAAACACTTAAATGTGGAAGTTTTTATTTGTTATTTCCTTCAACTGCACTAACATTTCACTCCACCATCATACCAAGGTCTGAAGACTCTGACTTCAACAACCCTGGGAAAGCTGTCAACTTCAAAGAAGATGGTGAATTGCATCACTTATAAAGTGCAATTAAGTGTACAGGAAGTCCTCATTTACAACGACACCTGGGGCTGGCAACTTGGTTGTTAAATAAAATGGTCATGACATGAAACATGACTTATGATCTCACTTCAACTTTCCTTTGCTTTACAGACCAGTTGCTAAACAAGGAATCCCTGTAATTCAACATTTTTCAGCAAACTTAAGTATCCCAAATGTTAAAATGCAAAATATATTTGTAGCAATACTGATACAATTGGTTTCTGGTGATATAATAGACCAGGGGTCCCCAATCCCCAGTCCGTGCCAGCAACCGGGCCACACAAACAAGCAAAGCCCCATCTGCAGGATGCAGGCAGCACACAAAACCACGCCCCCTCCGGTCCACGGAAAAACCTCTCTCCATGTAACTGGTCCCTGGTGCCCAAAAGCTTGAGGATCTCTGTAATAGACTGTTTCTTGTACACAATGACCAGGCTAGAAAGATAGACATTCAAGGTATTTACAGGATCAACTGTTGGGAGGTTGGAAAGTCTTCTCCGTTTCCTACTTGGACCTGGTGTGTTTGTGGAATGGTGACCATCATCAAAATCTCCTCCACTGGCACTGCTAGAAGGAGAGGTAGCCCTTCGCCTCTTTGAGCTCATGGAATCCAACTTCTTCTATAATAGAGAAAAATGTTCTTAAACTTGAAGCTTTCAAACAAAGAGAACACAAGATAACAAGATAGTAAACCCTAAAAAATCAACAATTCCATTATTTGAAATAATTTATAGCAGGTTTCAGTGTGTCTTTGGTACTCTGTGTATTTTGAAAGAATGTGGTTATTCTGATAAACTGGCTCCACACCTATTCACACAATGGCTACCACTGTGAGCATGGCTAACTAAGAACAATAATGAAACACACTGATAAGGAACTATTCCCACTCCCTCTAGCTCTCTAGGGCATTTTTTGCATACAATTTTGTGGACTTGGAACATGTCTGGAATACTGTAAATAACCTTCTATCCTAGAAAATTTGTTTTTAGATAACTTCTGGACAACACATAGCTTCTTACACACTTTAGATCCCAGAATTCTGGGAAATGGCCATGCTGTCTGGGGAATAGAGACAAGTTTGGGAAATATAATATATTGGAATATTATATTAATGGTTTTACTGCCAAGCAATCATTGTATTATCCAAGCCCCTTGATGACAAAATTATAACAAAATAAATGGTTTTCTGAAGGGACTACAACATTTCTATTTCTATCAATGCTCGTGCTGGCTAAATAAATTAGTTATGTTATTTTGTGATTTCTAAATGCTTGAAAAATCTAGACATCAAGTATTGTCCTAATAACTAATTTAAGCGAATACAGTATATCAATCTCCTTTTGTCCACCTGACAGCTTTCAAGGCAATGTACAACATTAAGCAAAAATAATTACAACCAAACTCTGTTTTGTGCCAACACCAAAGACCAAAAGTATTATTAGCTCCAATTGTGACTGAAGAATGAATGTTCAATTACAAGCGAATCATGAATTAGTTGCTAAAATTAAACGTATAGTAATTACAGAGATTATGATCATATTTCTCATAGACTATATTCAATATAAGAGCAATTTATGTCCCAAAGTACTTTCATACGTAACATTTTAAAAAAGTATATAGTTATGTTAAGCATGATTTTGAAGTAGGCATGCAAAATTTATGCCGTAAAAGTTACTGTGATTTGTGCAAAAGTGTCCTAAAAGAAAAAGTGAGAGAATATAAAATATTATTTGAAAATAATTTGTTTGCTAAGCTAGAAGTAAATGATGCAATCTAAACTCATCAACACCAGTAGAAATGCTTCTGTCAGGAGAATGCAGTGATATTACACAATAGGTTGAATACATTAATGTGGACATAGATTAAGTGCTGAAAACAAAATATAAAAGAATCTTAAGTTAAGTAAGGTTCTTATATTTTGCCAGTACTTTCTAAGAAAACTATTATTTAATTGAAGACAAACATTAATTATAATGTAATATAATTACTATTGAAATTAAAGGATCAACCAATTTTAAACAAAGTATATGTTACTTAAACTATTTTTTATTTAAAGCATAAAGCAATTATGGAACCATAAGGAACTAGTTGATCTGAAACGAAAAAGCTGAATCTTAAATCTGAAATTACACAGTACAAATGCAGATTAAAAGATGACCATGAACAAGTGAGCTAATGACTTGTTTGCAATTTTAAAGTGTGAAGTGATTCATAAACCTTTCAAAATTTCCTACTCATTTAAAAGCAGAAAAATAAAATAAATATGCCTCTCAGCTATTATCCCAGTCAAGTTCTTTTAACAAAATTAAAATATAAGATTACTATAGTTGGTTTTCCAATGGAAACAAATAGAAAATCATGTTTTCCAATTTTTATTTACAGAAAAATATTTTAAGAATATACAATATACAGTTAGTATAATGTAATTGTGTTAATACATTTGCACTTCATGTCTGATAACCAAATTAATGTACATTCATGAGATAAATGAAAAAAACATGACATTTACAAATACAGGTAGTTCCCGACTTACAACAGTTCATCTAGTGACTGTACAAAGTTACAACGGCACTGAAAAAAAGTGACTTATGACTGTTTTTCACAGTTATGACTTTTCCAGCAGCTCCATGGTCATGTGATCAAAATTCAAATGTTTGGCAACTGGTTCATCTTTATGACGGTTGCTGTGTCATGTGATCACTTTTTGTGACCTTATGACAAGCAAAGTCAATGGGGAAACCAGATTCACTTAACAACCATGTTACTTAATTTAGTAACTGCAGTGATTTATTTAACAATTGAGGCAAGAAAGGTCGTAAAATGGGAAAAAATTCACTTAACAAATGTATCACTTAACAACAGAAATTTTTGGCTCACTTGTGGTTATAAGTCAGGGACTACCTTTATAAAACAAAAATGGCTGAGATGTATGGAAGAGGGACAAACAGCACACACATTACCAGCAAATTACCAGATTTACCAGAGTACAACCAGCACCACGAAAAGCCAATCTCCTCATAATGTCTGATAGGCAAGTAAACAAACTGAGAAAAGCGAAATCTTTAAAGCACCAACTCAGCCGCAGTATTAGTACAGCCAAAACTGAAAGAGAAGATAACAAAAGGAAAGGAAAACAGAGAAGAAACAAAGGAAGAAAGGTAAATAAAGGAATTAAGAAGAAAGAATAAGGAAAACTATAGAAAACAGCACAATGTAGGATTACAATAACTGGATTGTTAGCAAATTTGAAATAATGTTTATTCAAAATTCAGAACGAAACTAGCAGTCTTAGAATAAGTGAATAAAGTTTGTAGTTTTAAACTAATCAGTACAAAACTCTGCTACTTGATATGGTACAACTAGGGTCTTAATGGTCATATTATTATAGAACTATACTAACAAAAAAGACTGTTCATTATATACAAGTCACTATAGTGTATCTATTGTTATTCTACTTAAATAATGAACAGCATTCAAAAAATAACAGATTCAGAAATTGCAAAGGCCAGTATACATCATAAAACAGGTTTAATTATAATAAATTATAAATCATTATAAAAACTTCTAGTTAAAAATGCAGACACACATCTAACACTTTTAAATACAGCTGCTGAAGCCCTTCAAACTATAGCTTAGTCATTGATTTTGGAATAATTGGTTATATTTACAACACATAAGGCGACAAACTATAGTTCATATATACATAGAAGTAAATCACATTTTGGTAAAAACTTTTTCATATTTTATTCCAAGCCAAGAGCAGCAGCTGTAATTTTGTCTGATAAATGACAAATAAATTGAAAGCAAACTCAAACAAAGCAGAGATATTGAAAGTTAAAGGTTAAATGATGGGTTTGTACTTCATATAGTGGTTGAAATGATGATAATGCATTTTTTAATGTCTTTGAGGATGAAAAATATTGTACATGTATAAAATAATGTAATCCAAGATAGCAAAAACCCCTTGATTAAAAGAGGAAGAAAAGAAGCAAAAGAGATTTTGAAATAAAATAAAACATTGGTTGGAAAGTGGGTAATATTTACAATACTATATTGATTCAACAAGGAGGTTCTCTCAGAATTAATTAAATAATATGGGATGAAACTGAAGTGAGAGAATCCTGGAAGGAGATTTGCTTGGGTATGATAATGAAGAGCAAAATTCAAATGAATCCTATAACTAGTTTTTAAAAACTGATAAAAAAGAAGTAATATATGCTATGTGAATATTAAAGAATAGTAGTGTGTAGATGGTAAAAGCAGACAGATATTAGAACATTGACTTGGTTTGCTTATGGTCTGCCTATCTGACTTGGGTATTGTGTGTGTGTGAGAGAGAGAGAGAGAGAGAGAGAGAGACAGCTGCTTCAATACCTGACAATAAAAGAATAGTGTTATTGTTCGCCAAACAAAGGAAAAGGTAGCAAGAATGAATGTAAAGAGATTAATCTGTTAAGTATGCTTGGCAAGGTGCTTGGCAATTCTGATAGAAAACGTGTGAGATGATATTAGCAAAATTTAAGAAAGCTGTATGACTTTTTGTATAGAGATTTTCGCTTTTGAGAATGTTTTCGAGGAATGCACAAATATATGATCTACTAATTTTTTGATTCAAAGAAAGTGTAGAGTAAAGAGAATAAGCTTGAATTATGGAATGTTTAATGTAAGTATGGTGTTAGTGTGGTTGCTAAATATGGTAAAGAGGATCTAATTGAAATACAATATACATAAGGACATTGAATGATTATCAAATGATTCAACATTAGGCAGGAAGCAGGATAGATGTCTAATGTCTGATTGATTTTTTAAAATCATCAAAATGAATAAATATATTAGGAAATGTGTCTTGTTAGTTGTGATGATTGGGGACATGAAAGTACTTATACTTTTGTATGCAGATGATGCGACACTATGGGAGAGAACCAAAATGATTCATGTGAATGTTAGATTCAGACACAATCTGTGTCTGCATATGTCAATATTAATATATTAAAAACCAAAGTACAGGTAGTCTGACTTACAACCATAATTTCTGTTACTAAGTGAATCATTTGTTAAGTGAATTTTGCCCTGTTTTATGACCTATCTTGCCACAGTTGTTAAGGGAATCACTGCAGTTGTTAAGTTAGTAACACAGCTATTAAGTGAATCTGGTTTCCCTATTGACTTTGCTTGTCAGAAGGTCACAAGAGGTGATCACATGACCCTACGACACTGCAATCATCATAAATATGAGTCAGTTAAGAATCAGAATTTTGATTACGTAACCATAGGGATGCTGTAGGGGTTATAAGTGTGAAAAATAGTCATAAGTCACTTTTTTCAGTGCTGTTGTAATTTTGAATGGTCACTAAATGAACCCTTGTAAGTCAAGGACTACCTGTAATTGCATTTGACTAGAAAAAGTAAGTAGAACAACTGCAAGTTTCTGTAAATAACAAAACACGAAGGAAGATTAATTTATGTATCTTACTTGAATTTTCCTTAAGGTGGAAAAATGGGTGGAGAAATTATAACATGCAAATTTTGGAAGAAAAGATTTGATTAAAATGATGGAATATGTGGTCTGTTGTGAAGCATCAATGCTTGTTGAAATAAACAAAAATGGCAATATAAAAATAATGTTTTCTGCCCATTTTATTATAAAGTGAGAGATAGGTATGCCAAAAGAAATTTACGTCAAACGTGGTGGGAATACGTTAATTATTGACAGTATATAATAATAGAAGAAACACTTATCAGAAACCAAAGAGTGTTAAATGAACATAGATTAAAGGCAACTGTGACTAACCAGTTCAAAAGAAATTCACTGAGGTGATTTGGTGAGGATGAAAGAGGATCAAACTGGAAATAAAACATTGTGAAATAAAAATGAATGATCTGAGAAGGGGAAACATGAAAGCTGTGATTGGACAGAGTTGATGAGTTCTTCAAAAAAGAAAAGATCAAAGGGTTAAAAAAATAAAACAGTGCATGAAATAGTGTGGAAATAAGCATAATTTGCAAGGATAGAGCATTATAGTAAGTAATGTTGATATAAAATACTTTTAGTTATATTTCCTTTTCACATCTTCTGCCTTTAATTTTTTTACCTACTCCCTTTCTATTCTTTGCATTATACTGCATATCCTAAAACAGAGGTCCCCAATCTATGGGCGGAGGCCCACTTCCGGGCCATGGCCTCTTGGCCAGCCTGTCCTAAAAGACAATATTGTGATGAGTATTTTTTAAATGTAAATAATCCTTTTACAATTGTTTCAGGTACGAAAAAGAGTACACAGTATAGTGCATTTAAAAATAATACTTAACCTACTATCTAAAAGGGCATTTTGTAGTCTGCCTTTTATTCTAAATCTTTATATCAAATGACTTATCTGAACAGTTAATAAATAAATAAATACTCCACTGACTGAACTATCATTCTTTTTCTATTAGTTAGTTTCTTGAACAGTATGAGAATGTTTACTTGACTTTAGATAATTACTATGCTTTAAGTATTTTAAATAAACTGCCAACATAGTTACAATTGTTACAATATAACAACAGTTTAGTGGACATTAATTTTTCTGACTTAGGTATATCAGCTAAATTAATTGCTAAAATTCATATCAAGAACAAAACTATTTTTCATATATAAAACATCACTTTTAAGCTATAATCTCTGGGTAGAATGAAATGAAAAAAAATCTATATTTATCAGAAGCATGAAAACAGCATCTTGTACTATTCTGTAGAAATAACCATTATTCTATTATTAAATGAAAACAGCCATCTAACTACATTTTTTCCTTTTGGACTAGATAATTTTAATAATTTGGAGTAGATAATTCTAATTTCCAAAAATATAAGACTCCTTCATTATACTGTAGATCTGAAAAAAGTTCTGTGCAACTTGAAAGCTTGTTAATGGTGTCAGCCAAATCTGTCTATTTGGATGTTATCAATATGCTAAAAAAAAAAAGAAAAGAAAACCAATGGAGTTCTCTTCTGACAATGGCTTCCTTAGTTTTTCAAAATTTATTTTAACAGGCAGAAAATGAAGACAGTCTCAATAGAATGGCATATTTTCATTGGCTAAGCAAAATGAGAAATAGATAACTCCTTAAATATAGAAATAAATGAACGTTGGATGTTTCAAAACATTGGCTATTAGGTGAATAACTAAACTATAAATTCCAGTGCACTGCTAAGCTCTTCAGCATCTTTAAATAAAGGAAATATGAAATATTAAAGGGCGGTCAATTTCACACTTGATGGTACATATCACTCTTTTTAGCTGTTATAATTTGCAGAATTCCTGTCCTTTTGTGCTTTGTGAAGTAACTGTGGCCGGGTTCGTACAATATGCTAAATTCAAATGAACACCTGTTGTGGCCACATAACAAGCAAAGCCATATATATATATATATATATATGAATCCAGCTTCAGAACCAGTACCTGTATTTCATATTCTTTTTATCAGAAAACTGAAAGCCATGCTTTTCAAGAAACTATAATTTGTTATTTCAGAAGAAAGTTTTACTGTGGAAAAGTAGCCAACAAGATTGTTTACGCCTCTGTGTGGAGAAGAGGATGGGAGAGAGAGAGGATTCAGTCAAAGAATTCATTACTTTTGACAAGTGCAGCGGCTCTGCTCTGGACTAAGGCGAAAACTTCAAATCATTTCTTCACCAGAGGCTTAGGATACCTCCTGTTAACTGGTTGTGAAATGTTGGGGTTTTTTTTTTCTATTTCCCCTAACGTGGTGACAAGGGAAAAAGAAAACCCGGAAAACAAATAAATCACCCACAAATTCCTGGGAAGAATCCACCACCGACCAGAAACACGGGAAGATTCGCAGGGGGGGATTTGTGTGTGAAAGTCAGAGAGAAAAGAGGGTTAGTAGGTCAGAGGCAGTTCAGGGGCTGGCTGGGTGGGAGGGCCGGTCTCTTTCCCCTCGGGAGGGGAGAGAAGGCCGGTCAGAAGCGGGCAGACCCGAAGAGGAGCTAAAGGGAGGCGAGCAGCCCCGAGTCCTCGGGAGACGAGGCGAAGAGAGCGGGGCTTCGGCAAAAGAATCTCGCCCGGCGGCTCCGGAGCCACACAAAGGAGACTTCGTCGCGGCCTCCTGTCTTCCCTTCCCGCGAGCGCCGCTTATTTTCCCAAGCCAAGCCAAGCCCGGCCCCTCACCCTGAACTTACCCAGCCAGCCCCGCTGCTGCTGCTAATCCTCCGCCTCCTGCAGCCGCGGCCGCGCTCAGTCCCGCAGCGGCGGTGACGGGGGGCGCGGCAGCCGCAACGGCGGTGACAACGGCGAGTCAAGCGAGCGAGCGAGCGAGCGAGGGTTCGCTAGGGCGGCGACAGCGTTTCGACCTGAGTCGGCGGTTCGCTCTGAGCGTCTCGCTGTCGGGCCCGTGCCGCGAAATGCCGTCGGAGAGCCGCTCAAGAAGAAAGGTGCACCCAGGCCGAGAAGAAGAAGAGGAGAGTCGCGTCCGGCCGCCATGAAACGACCGAGTAAGTAGTGCAGCAGCTATGGGAGGACAAACCAGCGTGGGCCGGTAGTGGGAGTCGAACAGTTGGTTAATAACTCGCAACTGGAGAGACGCGGGGAAAGGAGCTCCGTACAGGGTGTCTTTCCTGGGCCTTTGCTTCGCGAGCTGGTCCGGCCAAAAGTGACCTAGATCGGGAGGGGCCGCTTGTTTCCACAAGGAACGAGTGTAGAGACGTGCTCCGGACAGGCACATGTGATCCAGGCCCACTTGATCCATCCTGATCTTCCCCAGATGCGTTGGACTGCTCTTCCGCAGCCAGCAGAGCCATGAGGGCTGGAGATGGGAGAAGTCTGTGAGTAGTAACACGGCTTGCTATCTAAGGAGGTTTTCAGTCATCCTGCTTATGATTGTCTCAAAGAGACAATATATATTCTATATATTCTATATTCCATATATTCTATATATATATATGTATATGTATATGTATATATGTATACACACACACACACACACACACACACACACTGTTGCCTGCTCTCAAAGAAAGTATATATCTACCCATACACAACACACATATACGCATATTATATACATATATCCATCCATAGATATATACTTTCTTTTGAGAGCAGGCAACAATTTCATTTTTAATGTGGGCCAATGTGCTCACAGTAAAAAAAATGACAATAAATGTTATCTCTTACAACTGGACTTTCTTGGGTTTTTTTCCCCTTGAAAACGTTTCACTTCTCATCCAAGAAATTTCTTCAGTTTCAGAATTGGATGAGAAACTAAACATTTCCAAGGGAAAAAAAGAACAAAGCCCAGTTGCCTTTTGAACAGCACTTTTTGGGATAATGTGGCTTGCTTGCATCACCGCCCCCCCCCCAAAGCTAATGCAAAATTAAGTAGCAAGAAGCAAAGAATTCTAGAAATGCAGCCCCATTTGCACTTCTTATCTTGATTTTCTAAGGGTTTTGTTGTTCTGTATGGCTGCTGATATGATCTTGTGCTCTCAAACAGGAGAGCAGTTAATTAAATCTCTATTTGTACTGGTGAGTTCTGGTTGTTTAAAAAAATGAATGGGAAAGCTTACAATCTTAAAATATATAATGAAGGGGGGAAATCATTGGGGGGAAAACCAAGGATATTGTACACTATGTCAGCCAACTATTCATTTGTTGTTACTTGTTACTTTAATGACCACAGACTAGAAGCAATTGTGACTAATCCAAAAGACTTAAATTTTAAGCACTGTGAACTAAGAAAAGATTACATTACTAATCATATTGTGTGTGTTCGTGTAAAGGCAGGATAAAATTCTAATATCACCTAAGTACAAGTAATATTCAACTTACAACAGTTCGTTTAGTGACCATTCAAAGTTACAATAGCACTGAAAAAAGTGACTTGTGGCCATTTTTCACAGTTATGACCTTTACAGCATCCCCATGGTTGCATGATCAAAATTCAGATGCTTGGCAACTGGTTCATATTTATGACGGTTGCAGTGTCCCATGGTCATGTGATCACCTTTTGCAACTTTCCGACAAGCAAAGTCAATGGGGAAGCCAGATTCACTTAACAACTGGGTTAGTAACTTATCATCCACAGTGATTCACTTAACAACTGAGACAAGAAAGATCGTAAAATGGAGCAAACTCACTTAACAAATGTCTCACTTAACAGAAATTTTGGGCTCATTTGTGGTCATAAGTCGAGGACTACCTGTAATTTAGGTGTATTCAGGCGTTTTCCTCCCTGTTTATTAAATTCCATTTCTAGATTCATAGTTGTGGAAGAGTAGTGTGGCCCATGTTTCATTTGTCCGATATCTGGTGATAGAATTTAACTTACGGCATATTTACCTTTCAGAGCTGAAAAAAGCTAGTAAGCGCATGACCTGCCACAAACGTTATAAAATACAGAAAAAGGTAAGTGTGTATTTTGAATTAATTCCTGTTTAAATAAGTATGGAGTTTGCTGTTCCCATTGTGTATCCCAGTTTTCTATCCTGGCTTACAATCAGAACAGCTGTTCACATACAGAGAAGGTCCTCATCCCCATTTCTCAACTACACAGCTAGGCCATATCAGCACTGTTGTGCTGGTGTTCTTTTTTACAGATGTCATTTAAATTATTGGTCAAAACTCATACCCGCTTGCCCTGCCATTTCTCAATCCTGGATATCAATTATCAGATCAGATGACAGTTGACAGCTCTCTACTTGCCATGAGTCTTATTCCATAAATTTGCTGTTCCATAAGCTTGGAGATACAGGAAACATTAAATAACATTGCAGAATTGTTTTAAACCATAAGTGCCATTTTTTTTGGTTCATGACTCTCATAATACTCAACAGATGTTGAGTATCACTGTGTTTCCCTCATAAACTTAAAATATCCCACAGTGCCCTTATGAATTTGCTGGGATACCTTGGCACATAGTTTGGAATTGTAAAGATTTAAACTAATGTTTTTTTTAGAATTCATGATTAGGGACAAGCTAACTTTTATAGTTTATATCATACTTTTAATACATAAAGTTTAGAAAGGAATGAATAAGTAAAAAAAGTTTCAAAGTTCCAAAAATCAGAATAAAATTGTTTTTTATATAGTATCTGTAGCTGGCTCGAAATAGCAATGATAAGGTACACTTAGATCCAAATTTGTGAATCTTCTTTTTTCATTGCAAGATGTGATCCTATACAATTGCCTGCCACATTTGTGTTCTGATAATTAATTGCCCACCATGTTTAATAAAACATGTCCTTTACAAACTAAGAATATGTAGCGTAGAAAGTGTTGAAGTTTTATATGAAGAGGAAAGGGGAATGAAAAATCTCAGGTTTGAAAATCTGTAATAGTAAAAGTTGGCCATTGGTTTTTATAGGTACGAGAACACAATAAAAAACTACGAAAAGAAGCCAAAAAACATAAGCACAAGAAGCCAAAGAAAGATCCCGGAGTTCCCAATACTGCTCCATTTAAAGAAGAGATTCTTCGGGAAGCTGAACATAGGAAACAACAGGTAAAACAGTTTAAACTTTGGCATGTAGGCATATAAAATTGGGCAATTAACCATTTTTTATTGAAAACAACTGATATTTTCTGAGCACCTATCAGGTATTTTAAAACCATTATTCCATGTTTGCTGGATTACAGGAAAAAACATGTGGTTTTGTATATCTTCTATATCTGCTAAAATAATTAAAGCATATGTATGCCACATGTCATACAGTGCATAATGTATAAAGTCCTGTACAGTGAAGTACAATAACCAGATAAATATTAGAGGAATAGCCATTATTAGTTTTAAAGCAGGATCAGGAGAGTTCTAATTGTCATAGTGTATAAGAACATATTTATATTTTGTGCTAATAGCGTGAAGAATTGAAACAGAAGCAAAAACTTGCTCGTCAGAAGGAATTCGAAAAGAAACGCAACCAACAAGCAAATAAAAAGGATGCAGGTGATGAGGTATGAATTTTTAGGAAAGCTCTACAGTCAGATTTGCTGATCAATTGAGAGGAATATTTCATTAATTTGAAAAAACGCATTTATTTCTTTCAGAATAATTATACCTTGAGCGTCTGCATTTGTACCTATGTAGCTAGTCATAGAGGTGGGTGACCCAACCTATGGCTGCTCTAGAGTGAAGTACAAGGCCCAGCCCTCTTCCCCATGTTGTTTAGTATCTATTTGAAAATGCTATGGGAGATCATGATTCAGTTTGGAGTACGGTATTATCAGTGTACTGATTCTATTCAAGTCTTGAACCAAAATCTGCAGGCTATAGGGATTAGATGAGGAAAACCAAGCTCAGATTAAATCTAGCAAAATGGAGATGCTGGTTGTGTAAGCATCTTGACTGTCTGGAATATTGTGTCCCATGGTTGTTCTAATTATGGTGCCATTCCCCCGAAGGAGCACATCTGACATTTGAGAATCCCCCTTGATTTTTTGGTCAGAGGCTTTTGTTCAGCTTCAGATGATGCACATGTTGCCACAGGAAGCCTTAGTGACACTAAATCATACATTGATCAACACATGATAGGATTACCACAATACATTCTACGTCAGGGGTGTCAAACTGCCGGCCTGCGGGCCAGATACATCATGGCAAAACGCCCACCCCATTGCTGGCAATGGAAAAAAAAAGTTGCAATATGTCGCGACACGTCATGTGATGTTGCGAGTGTGACACATCTGCTCTACGTGGTGCTGCCTTTACAGACAGTGTGCTGTAACTGGTGCAGAATATACCATAGTAACTAGTCAGCTTATACTGAAGACCCATAATTGCAGAGTGGCCCTATTCTGCACTTGTTGCACTGATTGCCAATAGATTTTGGAACCTAATGCAAAATACCGGTTATTACAAATAAAACTTTATTCTATGTTTACTTGATTATGTCAGGGATTTGCTCACTATGATCTTTTGAATAACGGCGAAAGGAATAGGCGAAAAGGCAGGTCATCTCTAATAACCCCCCATATAGTCAAACATTCTGCTCCCCAGGAATGCTTGATCCCTTCCCTTTGCTGTTTCAGAAGGCACTGAAAACCATTCTATTTCAGAAGACCTTTGGCCCCTAATGAGGAATTACAGATAACCAGTTAGTTTTACATTTTAGGGTGTTTTTCAATGGGTTAAAAAGTATTTTAGTTGGACTGGTAGTACCGGTATATCATGTTTTGCACACTGCAGAGTCTCTGGATTAGGAGGGCATATAAATGCTATAAATTAAAGAATGAACGTTGATCATTGCTCCCCACTATTATAAGTGATATTAGTTTCCTAATTTCTAAATTTTCTTCTGATTTTTTTCATTTATTTATAGAAATCAACTACAAAGCAAAAAATGAAATCTAGCCAGCAGGTCCAAAAAAATTCAAAGAAATCATTTTGTGGGGAGTTAAAAAAGGTGAGAATATTTTTCAGATAAAAGAAATGTTTTATATTTCTTTAATTCTCCACATAAATTAGTTCTGTTCTTTGATAAAAGATCTTCAGTATCCTAAAATGCTGGTTACATGTTTCTTTTTTTATAATATCTAATAGTTGCTTTATAAATTTGTGAAATCATAAATTATACTTCTTACCTGATAGTAATAATTTGAACTATTCAGTATGATCTCTTGCCGATGATTGGCAAAATATTGTCCTCTTTGCTTCATCTTTGTGTCCTCCTTTCCTCAATCCTAGAGCAGATGGAGGATTTAGGGAAGGAGAGCACAAGGGGAATTCCCCAACCTGAGCAGAAGACCATTTTTTTTCTACATACTGCTTTTCAGTATATTCAAAGACAAAAAAAATTATAGTGGTAAAAGTATTTTAGATATATTCCAAACCATTTTCTCTCGATTTTAAGTTTTGAACATGTGCATATTTTATTTGTATTTATATCCTACTTTTTATAAAGATACTTGCAGTTACCTTTATATATTTAAATGTTCCCAACCATTTTTAGCATAGTTTCTACTAAGAATATCATGAGTTTAATATGATTCTGAAAACTGGATCCTCAGAGAATGTTGTATTCAATTTGTTGGAGAAGCATTTTAAGTCCATTTGAATTGCTCTTAAATTAGCTTGATACCAAAATAATACTGCCAAGCTTTCAAGTGTAAATTAATCTTATGGTCTCAAACACTATATTGTTCTTTATTACTGTTTAGGTAATTGAGGCTTCAGAGGTCATACTTGAAATCTTGGATGCTAGAGATCCTCTAGGCTGCAGATGTCCACAGGTTGAGCAACTTATTGCTCAGTCTGATGAAAGAAAAAAAATAATTTTGGTTTTAAATAAAATTGGTAAGTAAATAAGTAACGTTTTTACATAAACTTTTCAGCTCTGTTCATAGGCTAATGAAGTCTAGTGATTTGAAAGTGTGTGAAATTTAGAAATGAAGATAGGAGACTTGTGCTGTTAATTACATTATCATTTAAATAATTCTTCGGTAGGGTGTGAGCTATGAGGAGGCTATAAAACGTGCTGACCTGCATCTGGAGACTGTCAGATCCAACTCTGAGCTCACTTTTCTTGCTAACAAGCCATAGCTGATTCTAGTCATTCTCATCCTGTATGTTTAGAAACACCTAGATTGCACCCACATAGTGAATTGATCTTGTAAAAAGGCATTTTGCCTTCTAAGCTGCTGGCAGGCACACAGGGCATTATTCCCACTTAGTGCGGTCCTGTGTTGCAAGAAACTGAAATAAAGCTGATTATGGAAAGGCTTTTATTGAAGTTTTGATTAAACTGTGCTTCATTTTGTTCTGCTGAATTTAAACTTCAAATTTGTATTTATCTGCCTGGGTGTATATGTCAAGCTCAGAATACATCTAGCTTGCTGAAGAATTTAGAATTGCCTCTGGAATTATCTATATATGGCTGTGAATATCCTCTGGAGCATGGTACTTTCCTTAGCTACTAAAGTTGCAATGTTGTTCATAAGAAAGATTATCTTCTATGATAATAAAGCAGTCGTGTGTGAAATAGCAACTATTTTGGCTGCTGGGAGTTATTTTTGTCTATCTTCATATCTTTCAATCTGTTGATTGTCCAATAAAATTAATGATTTAATAGGCTTTAGTGGTTTCTGTACTTTTCAAGATCTACAACTATAGTTAACCATTTTTAATAGGTTCATGCTGGGCAACTTCATGAAGTAAATAATATTTCTCTAATACCATTGAGAAACATGGCTAAATCTAAATCCAATGAAATAGAATCTTATCATTGCACCAGTCAGTTTAATTTAAACAGTTTCTTAGGAGTTGTGGATAATGGGACTTTCAATGTGAAAGGAACAAAAAGAATGGGATTCACAAGTGTTAGACATTTATTTCTATTTTAAAATTACATTAGAATAGGACACGGAATAATAATGCATCTTTCTTACTACAAGTAGGCAGAAGTGCTCTTTATATGGTATGCATCTAATAATCATCCAAGACTTTAGAGAACAACAGATTACAGACAACTGCAAATAGTTTTCAGTATTTAGTGAGTAGCTCACAAATATTGATGCCAATAACTGTCATAACTCTGGCTTTCTAGATGTAAACCTGAAAAGGCTTGAGGAATTTGGTAGCATCTTTTCTGGTTAACAGATTTTATTAAAAGGCAGAGTGGGTTTTTTTTTTGTTGGTTGGGAAATGGGCTACCAGGTTCCTTCTGGTTTTTTTCTCCATAGACTACTAACAAAGTTCTCTTACGCAATGTTTGGAAAGCATGGATTGTCACACAACAGAATATTTTTACAGCAAGCTTCTGCATATTTTTTTTCTCCTAGATCTGATACCAAAAGAAAACTTAGAGAATTGGTTAAGTTATTTAAATAAAGACCTTCCAACTATTGCTTTTAAATCTGCAATGCAGATAAAAGACAGAACTGTGGTAAGAATGTTTTCCTGTTTTCTGTAATACTACCCAATCTGTTTTTATAATATTATATGCAAACTATTAATAAAAGTAAAGATAATATAAAATCTTTTCCTCCTGTTTAATAAATGATTAAATTAGCATTCCTGAAGATACAGCAGTCATAATTTCTGTAGAGGGGAGTATGCATAGATTATAGTACACTATCATATATTTTTCTAGGGAATCATTAAACAGGCCATTTAGACTACTTTCATACGGGAACGCAGATCGAAGTATTTCTATCAGAAAGGGGAAATCCCATCAGAATTGGAAAATTGATTATATTATGATACTACAATTATTGTTAGGTAGAAAAAAGTGTATTTTCATTTGAAATAAGCAAGGGTGCTAATATTACCAGACAGAGGGTAGTAGTTGTGCTTCCTCAGTTGTATTGTTTCTTTCTTAATAGCTAAAATTCTTTGACCATAAAACTCTGTTGTGATCATCTAATGCTAAAAAACGTTTCTGTTTTCCCTCTGTGAATAAATGATGAGCGCAGTGAAGTCTAACACACTATACAGAATGTATGTAAAAAATAAACCTGGAGGCTTGAGCGAAGTTAGGGACAAGAAAGATTGGGTGTCATATAAAATAGTTCTGAGGTTTTTATGACTTTATTTATTTAAAAATGCATTATCTAGGGTTCTGTGAAGATTCTTAACTTTTCTTATTTTATCCTACAACAATTGAAGGAATTATGATAAATGCCACTACAGCTGGAATGTTGTTCTGCTTTTTGCTTAGACAAAAATTCATTAATCAATCTCTCTTTTAACTGAATTCGTGGATTTACTATAATTGATTCTTTGGCTTAAATTCTTCTTTTAGTAAAAAGCTGCTTTTAACTTGTCAGGCTCTTTGTCATATGGCTGTATCTTGTAGTCTATTCTAGTTGAAATATCTTTCTCTATGCAATAGTTATTCTGTTGACACTGAAATCTTAATTTAAATTTACAGCAAGAGAGAAGAAAGACAAAAAAGAATAGTGCATATCTTGAATTATCAAGAGCAAGTAAATGCTTTGGAAGTCAATGCCTCCTGAAACTTCTTCAAGGATATTGCATGACTAAAGATGAAGGAATACAGGTTGGGGTGATTGGTATGTTTGCCTTGTCCTTAAGGAGTTCTATGAATTATAGTACACACTTGTATATAGTAAGAACTGCTATAGAAATTGATGCTTGAAAATATGCATAAAATATTATAATTGGTTATATTATACATTTATATGCTGAGGATGCCTGCTTATTTATAATACTGGAGTGAGAAATGAGGATATCTGCATTTATCTTAGTCTCATGGTGAAGACTTCAGATCCAACTCTGATCTTGCTCTATAGGCAGCTTTAAAAAGTGAAAACCTAATTGGCTTCAATTATACTAACCAAGTATAACTTTCAAAGAATGCAAAATTGTCCAAAATCAGAAGATGGAAATGTACTGCATTTTATTCTTCCACCCAGACCCGGTGTTGTATTTCAAACCTAAATGGAACAGTCAAATGAGAGGAAGAGGAGATTAAAATAGGAATCCAAACTTTTCTGAATAAATATTTTTTTCTGGAATATCAGATTGAAAATGGCATTCCTGGAATATAAAGTAATTTGAAGATGCTATATTTACATTCATATGTATTGTGAAACTAAAAATAGAATCTTACCTATGTGAATCTCTGATCTTCAAAATAATTCACTTCATGTTATGTATTACCAAACTTTTTTGTTTTGTTTTATGATGGGCTTTAGGTTTTCCAAATGTGGGGAAAAGCAGCATAATCAATAGTCTGAAAGAAGTACGCGCCTGCAACGTGGGACCGGAGAGAGGCCTAACAAAGTTAGTTTGCTTTAATAAAGCAGTGCTGTAACAGAGCACACATTTGTATACTTGCACATAAGTTGGTCTTTCTGGGGTCCCTCAAGCAACAGTCCCTCAGTTCTTCTCCCACAATCTTTCCTATTGAATCCTTTCCTATAATCCTTGGGAGTCTGCCCAGTGTCTGCCACCACCCACTTTTTACAGAGAAAATTTTTTTCTGCATCTTTGTCAGGAGGAAAAGTAGGGGGAAAAACCTTATTTTTCTTAACTTATCTGTAATTTATAGAGTGGCCAGAAGATGCAGCAGTTATACATAGAATTACGTGGATCAATTCATAATAAAAGTTTTATTTAAAAAATCCTATAATTTAAATTTAGCCTAGATAGCTATTTCCTTCAGTAGCTTCTTTCAAAGCTTTTCTCCAATCCTTCTCTGGGTGACTACATTCTATTATTCTGCCATTTGTTTCCTCATAATTCTGGTTTGTGCGTGCACCTGATTCATCCCAACCATTATGTGTCTGTTCTGTTAAGGTCCATACAAGCAGTGCACATTGACAAACGTATCAAGATGTTGGATAGTCCCTGTATAATTGCAGCACCTTCATGCTCTGCTCTAGCTTTAGCACTGAGAAGTATCACAAATGCTGAAAACCTACTTGATTCAGTAGATGCTGTTCTGAAGCACTGTAAGAAACAGCAGGTAAAGATACTGTACAGTTTCACCATTTGATTGTAGCCATTTGATTAAACTTCATTTTCTATAATTCAATATAGGGTTTGAGCAGTGCAGCTAGATGACACTGTATTCATTAATTTGGCACATCAGCGAAATGAAATTTTACTGTTGATTATTATTGTGTTGATTATATCTACAATACAAGAAAATATTTATATTCTATTTATACAATAGAGAATATAATTATGCTCAATGTGCCACCATTTAGGCAAGTGAGAAATGAGGATATTTGCTATGTCATACTGTTGTGGTGATGACATCAGATCCAACTCTGATCTTGCTGTACCCTTAAATGGTGTTTTTGATCAGTTTTATTTTTTTCTACATCAGAAAAGTAGCAACTTATATAAATGAATTGCAGGAGAAGCAGGCAACTAACTGGCTGTGATCGGTTGGAAATTATGTAGGAATTTCTTCATACAGGAGAAAATCCTGAGAATATAATATAATTCTTTTATTCTAGATCATGTTACACTATAATATCCCAGACTACAGGAATTCTCTGGAATTTTTAACTTTGCTCGCTCAAAAAAGAGGAATGTTGAAAAAAGGTGGTCTTCCTGATACAGAAGGTGTGGCTAAATTACTGCTCTGTGACTGGACAGGGTAAATATGTGGTCATTTAATACAATAAAATAAGTTCTTTTGCTGCAGTGGTGAGATTTTTTTTTATTTATATAAGATGTGTGCTTGGAAAACCAAACAGTAAATTTACCATATGTTGGTTTGAAATCTAAGACTGTTGTTCCTTCTAGTACCATACAACTTGCTATAACCATGTACAATTTCAGAGGTAGGGAAGAACCTCCTTTGTATATTTATTAAATCGAGTCAGGAAATTTACCATGAAAAATATATATTATTGAATCTTAAATACTCAGACATAAATAAGACTACTTACAGTTTTAAGTATATTTTGGATGCCATGCTGATATAAAAATAGTATTACAATAAACTTTGTCTGAAACATTGCTTTATGCAAAGCATGAAGACCACGGCAGAGTGGAGGGCAGTCAAAAGGGCAGAGATGGGAGGGGAGAAGTAGGCAAGTGGAGGGAGTGGATAGGTGCCAAGAACCTGAGTTTTTGAGCATGTGACTGAAAGGGCACTGCAAAAACCTAACTTCAGTGACTTGACGTAAGTACCATTTGTTGAGCACTATTGTAACTTTGAATGATTTCTGAACAGAGGGTCATTAAGCAAGAACTACCTGTATACCTATTGCAATTAATCGTGTCAATGCTTAATTTAGAACTTGCACAGTGAATACCAAAGAATGAGAACACTAAGGGAGACGCCAAGATAGTAATAAATCTTGAAAATAGTTTATTAGTAAATTGTTCCTGAATGCACAGCATCAGAAGGGTACAATCCCAAATATCCAGATGATCCAAATGGTGGGATTCCAGAACTCTACTGATGAGGAAGGTGGTTAAAGGGGCAAATCTTAAAGCCATTTCCCCCCACTCTTCTGTCCTTTGGGATGTTTATCTCTGTGCTGAGATAATTAGTAAAAGGAAGTTAATACATGTATTTACATTCATTGGAGTGCACGGGATTACAAAAAAGTAAAAGGTACACACAGTGGAGAAATAGACATTGAAAGTAATGCCTAGTGCAGCTCAGGGTGACATACAAAAGCTTTTGGTGTGAAATTGATTAGGATTTTGTCATTATCAGGCAGCAACTGCCAGCAGAGGATTCTAATCAATTAATTAAGATCACTTGTTAACTTCCAGTTAGCACTTTTTAGGGAAGTGCTGTGCTGCAGAGAAAAGCAGCTGAGGAAGAGGTAGCTTGTTTAAGTAACCTCTCTGCCCTGCACTGGAGAACTGGGACAGGCACTGGACAAGATGATACCATACTGGCTATAATGCTGAACATGTGACTGAGACGGACACTGTAATGGTCATAAGAACACATGTTGGCCGCTTAGTTATTGTTTCAGCACCATCATAATTGCAAAGGATCACTATCTGAGTCAGTTGCTAAACAAGGACTACCTTATACTGTATGTATGTATATGCAGAAAGCAAATTTAAGACCTTCAACTATTTCATCTAAGGCATTTTTATATTTCTATTCAAGGGTGAAAATCTCTCTTAAATATCCTTTTTTACAGTGCCAAAGTTAGTTACTATTCTCGACCTCCTGAACCATGGACTCCATCTCCAAATCTTTCAAGAGAAGGAGTAGCAACAGTGCAGGAGGGTTTTAATTTTCAGGAATTGGAAGAAGATAACAAAAACACTGTAAAAGGTAAGATTAGTCTAACCTAACCTTCTCTCATCTTGTATACATATAAGAACAAAATTCATAATGACATAGTATAAATTACTGGAAATCAAGCTGGTTTACACATTACAGAATAAACTTTTTCCAGAGGCTATATTTGAATTCCATGAAAAAAAATAAATTGGTTGCTATGTAGGGTGTGTTTCACATTTCAGGGAAAACAAAGTTTAATACCTTAAAGCAGGGCTTTTCAACCTTTTCACCCATTGTACCACTTTTAGGATATGGCAATATCCGAGTACCACCAGTCGCCTAGCAAGGTGTCAAAAACTTGATGACCAAAAAAAAAGGAAAAAAGGGATAAAGTACAGGTAGTCCTCGACTTACAACAGTTCGCTTAGTGACTGTTCGAAGTTACAATGGCACTGAAAAAGTGCCCCCCAAGCCACAGCCGAGCAAGACACCTGCCTGCCCGCCCGGCCGCACTCTTCCTCCTGTCCGAGGTTTTCATTGTTGTGAGCATTTCTGTTGAGGATTGGCAGCGGGGGTGGGGTGGGGGTGTTTGGTTTTTATTCCCCCCGTCTGCTGGGTGGTTGCAGCAGGTTTTGGTCACTTCATATGACCTGGGACACTGTGACCGTCATAAATATGAATCAGTTGCCAAGCATCTGAATGTAAATCACAAGACCCTGGAGATGCTGCAACATTCCAGCTGATTGGTGCTTCTTCTGGGCTCAGTAGAAGCGCCAGGATCAGTGCTGCTTTCCAGCTGGAGCTGGCGCTGATCCTGGCGCTTCCACTGAGCCCTGACAGCCCTGCAGCTCCAGCCGTCTCTCGCTCAGGCTTGTGCGGTGCTGCCACCGGTTCAGCTCATTCCCCTCCCCCGCTACCACTTTTCTAGGATGGTCGCGTACCACCTGCCAGGTGCCAATGTACCACAGGTGGTACCCGTACCACTGGTTGAAAAGCCCTGCCTTAAAGATACCAGCATATCCCTCAATTTAATCCCCAAATTACAAAGTTTACATAGGAATGTTAACTCTTTTCTCCATCTATTGCTTTCTCCTACATAAAATTATTTCTATATACTAGAAATAATTAAACTTATTTAAATTTAATTAAATACTCTTTTGCTTGAAATAGCTTATCCCAACTCTTGTTGAGCTTTACTTAAAAATGCAAATTTATAGTGCTAATTGTCTCATGAACATTATAATTCATCAGGAGTTATAAATAATTTTTGTTCATGATGCTTGGAGGTGGGGGAGGGGAAGGTATAACTTTTCCTTGTTTCAATCTTCAAGTCTCTTGTATGCAGTTGGCAATTGGTGGAATACCTGTTGTGGAAGGGTGTTTCTAATTGCCCTTTCTGGTTTCTTTTCATATTACTTAGGGTAGCAAACCTATTCGTCTAGAAGTACATACTTGGCATTATGTTTGATTTAAGGTCTGTTTATAATATTAGTGCAGTGGTAAATCTGACAAAATTTTAAGAAATTTTGGAGTTGTAATGGAGTTGGGTGGCTTTAGAGATGTGATAAATATATTTGATAAACTATTAGGAATATTCATAGCAAGAAAGGCATATAGTCATAAGTAGCCTTGGGGACGTTAGTAACTTTGAACAGTTGCTAAGCAATAGGCTATAAATTAAGGACTACATGCAGCTAATGTTCCTCCATTTATTTATTTTTCCCCCTTCAGTAAAAAATAGCAAATAGTCTTGCTAATTAGCAGTTTTGCTAACAAACTCATAATCTTAAAAGCCTTGCAGCAGAATTCACTTCTGTGGCAGTTTATCTTTTGGCAAAATGCCCGAGAAAGTTCTGTTTGTTCAGTCAGTCTCTTAAGGGAATATTTCTTTTTTTAGCTAACAAATACCCTAACCAGGCAAGCACTATTGTCTTCCAATCTCTTGGCTTCACGGATGGCATCATGGAAGAAGATAATGAACAGCCAGAGGAAGCCCTGGAATCAGAGAATGCGGAAGATAATGATGAAGAATTAATTGAAGAAGAAATTGAGGATGATGAAAATGACCTTGATGTTGTGAAAGAGGTAATGGTTGAACTTTTAAGATATTTAGGATGATGTCCAGTGAGGTCTTTCCCTGGCTGAATTGTTTCTCCTGTGAATGAACCAGGAGGAATACATTTTGAACAGTGTGCAAGGAAGGAGAAAGAAGTCATGTTACACAGGCAAAACCCCATCCAAGTGACATGGGACTTCATTTATAATACTAAACAATTTCAAAATAAAGTTTGTGGGTTCATCATTCAGATCATGAAGGATGGATGTTTAGATATTTAAAACCCTGTTAATACAGAATGCTCCAACACTGGAAGTTTTTAAGAAGAAACTGGACAGCCATTTGTCCGAAATGGTATAGGGTTTCCTGCCTAAGCAGGGGATTGGACTAGATGACCTCCAAGTCCCTTCCAACTTTATCATTATCATTATCATCATCATCATCATTATTATTATTATTATTATTATTATTATTATTTTCTTTATTTCTTTCTTTAAAATGGAGAACATAACCACTAGCCTAAAGTATATAGGGATGTATATGCATTGCATCTGATTTTCTTATATCACTAATGTTAATATAGCAATTATTAATCATCTTGTTTCAGGAAAATGGTGCATTAGTGAGTAGTCAAACCCTCTCTGAAGAATTGAAAACAAAGAATGCCAATTTGGACAAGTTATCTATAGGTATATATTAAACCTACAAATTTCACAGGAGTAAGTATTTAAATAGAAAAATATTCTGAACTTATTTTCTTTTCTTCAGATGATAAAGAACTCAAAACCAGTGACCTGGATGATGCCTATGACTTCAATACTGATTACATGTAAAGAAAATATGACAAAAATCCAAGTATTTTTCACATTCTGGAGTGAATTCCTATTCTGATATCCTACGGTTTTTTGAAGCTACCGAATATCAGATTCTTGTAAATATATTAGAAACAGCAGCTGATAAAGGAAAGATACTTTCTGATGTAGTAAACTTTGTTCAGTAAATGCTTTGATCACATGTACTATAATCGGAAGTAAAATCAATGTTTTATAAAAGCAGAATGAAGCAACAATTTAGACTGTAACCTGTGGAGGGCTTCTTGTGTTTTAAATACAGCAAGTATGGATAACATGTCTTTCTGCTTTTCAAACTGGAAAAAAACCCTGAACTGCATTGCAGAAAATCCTATGGTGGAATGAAAATCATTTTTCTTGGGTTTTTTCCCCCTCTCTACAGTTGTATGCATACCACTAAGATGAAGGTTGCAGCCTATAAAAGGGTAAAGGAATAGGGTGAAGATTGCTTTTTTAAAAAATTATGCACTTCTCAGAATCCTGTAGCCTCCGTTCCATCTTAATAAGGCATAATTATGTTTGTATATAGGAACCCATAATGCAGTTTTTAGGAAAGTACATGTGTAATTAGAAAATATAAAGTGTACATATATTTGTGACACGTCTTCCTGGTCAATATGTAAGCAGTGCAGCCACAGACATAATGAGTAGATTTACAAGGTCTTCCTAATACCTGCTAATTAGAAAGACAAAAGTGACTCAGCCTTTTTTGAACAAGAATCATACTAATTATTGGATGGCCCACCAGAGGTCACATTCTTCTATGCGACACATTTAATATTTCTGTATCCAATAAGTTTCTCTAGTTGCATTGTAGTTTAGCAGCAACTTGTGGAGGAGGGACGCTCAGGCTTGTACACCTCTGTTCTAAACTTTTTTCTTAGTAGCAGATCAAAATTTACTACTTCTTTTAATTGGTACATCTCCCAAATAGATGCTCAAGAAACTGAGTCCATTTACTGGAAGAAGTAATATATTGTAAGACATTACTTTTTAATACAATTATCAAATGTAGATTAATCTGAACTCGCATACAAACAAATCAAGCTTTCTCCATGAATTTAAACAGGTTGCTCTAGTGTTGTTGGGCAGTTTCTTCCATCTACTAAATTACAAAAACAGATTAAATCTACAAAAGATTTAAATAAGTGTAAACATTTAACTAAATGCTACAGAGAAAAAGTTCTAACAAAACTTATGTTCATGGGTTACTGCTAAGAGGAAGAAGCTTTTCTTCAAAAAAAAATAGCTATGCAAGATAATATTGCAGATACCTAGGAGTAAGTGTCAGATTCCTAGATGAAGTTCATTTTCTAATATTTCATTTATAAAAGTTTATGTCTGAAGAATTCATCTGGTGTAGCTGAGTACAGATAGTCCTCAATTTAACCACTTTTCATTTAAAACAGTTCAAAATTATCAGAAAAAGTGACTTGTGATCTGTACCGTTGCACCACTCTGTGATGGTCACATAACTGCTATGTAAGTGCTTAGCAACTGGCTCACATTTATAACCAGGTGCAACATCCTACAATCACGTTGCAATATGTGACCTTAGTTGTAAAATTCCAGCAAAAAAAGGGCCCATGAGGGAACTGGAGCACGTGATTTGCTTCATAACCATGAAAATTTTCGTGAAATTGGGTCTGACTAGATTTATGACCACAATAACCTATAAGGGAAATTCCAGCCCCAACTGTGGTCATAAATTGAGGACTACCTGTTGTTGAGTCAAGCTATTCTTCATCTTGTACTTGAAGGCGCAAAGCTGCTGCTTCAGGCATACAATTTCAAGTGTTTCTCAAATTTAGTGTACATTAAGCAGTATGATTTCACTCTGATCTTACAGGTTTCCTGAGAAAAGCATGTAGGTGTTAAGTCTTTATTAATGTGCTGCATAAATCTCAACTGTGCCTGCGAATCAGGTTAAATTTGCCACTAGGATCAGGAATGTACCATTTTTCCCAAACATCTGCAAAAGATGCTGTTCGCCCCCAGGGCTTGAAATGTCCATTCCAGTGGAGTAATTTGGCAGCTTTCACAAACTGTGGCGAATATCTCTTGCCAGCATTTGAACCTTTAAATGGAATAAGAAAAAGAAATATAACAAGAAATCATGAGGCAGAAGTTGTTTCTGAGGTTTTCAACCACAGATGGAACTAACCATTTGATAGATTCACACATTGAAATTTTCATCAGAAATACTTTGTTGCTTTCTCACTGCTCACTACCCTCAAAACTAGACATAAAGCCTTATTTTAGAGTCCTAAAGCTGAAATTCTTGGACTAATTAATAAGTGCATATTGAAATACCACAGAAGTTTCAAGTACACTGTATTTAAAAAAGGTCAAATTTTCTTAATTAGACAATGTAAATGTTACTCTCCCAGAGAAAAACCAATCATTTTATTGCAGGGGATGAAAAACATCCTACTGGTGAATTTCAACTCATATAGTGGAGGTTTCGCCTGTTCCCTCCAGGTCCACACAAACCATAAAAAAACAAACAAAAAAAAACTTCATTTCACAGATTTTGAGCATGCATGAGAAACAGCAAGGGAAAGAATACATGTTCCCATTTCATCCAAAACCTCTAAAATTAGTACTGGATGGAGGGGGAAATGGATTATAATCTCAACCCATTTGATTAGTCAAAATTAGTTCCAATTTGATAAAGGCACAAAATTAATGTGAAATTGTTTTTTTTCTCGCTACTTACCAAGATGGCGAACATTCCACATAGGGTCAATTTTTGAATGTCTTTTGTAAAATACAATGAGCAGAGGAGGTGTAGTGATACTTCCAGCAAGAGTCCTGCTATATATCTCTTCTCTAGTCAGTGATTAAGAAAATGCACATTACCAGCTAAACCAGAAGCATTATTATTAACAAGAAAAACCATTTTCATAGATGCATAATTTGAGTGGATTGCAATTTTGTTTTTAATGTATTTACATATTTTTGCATTTTTTTTTAAATTTTCACTGGCAAACCCTTACTATTCACACTGAATAATTCACATTGTACCTTGGAGTAACATTGGACTGGACTCTCTCCTATAAGATAAACCTGAAGGCAGCAAGGGGCAAAAATCAATACTAGGAACAATATACTCCAGAAATTATGTGGAACTAAATGGTTGCCACCCTCAAGTCATCAGCCTTAGGGTTGGTCTATCCCATAGCAGAATACTGTGGATTAATAGCTGCCATACTAGTAAGTTAGACGCCAGATATAATGACACCATGAGAATTATAAGTGGATGTATTAAAACACTCCGATTTGCTGGTTTCCTGTTCTGAGCCATATAGCACCGCCAGCTTTATGAAGGCAAGATGCACTAGTAAGAGAATAAAGAAAAATTATGAACAATTCATTCCTACTGGTGCCGACCTTCCTCATTTATTAGCTAGAAGATTCAAATCCAAGAAACACCCATTGGCACTTGCACAACACCGGCCAAACAATTTTAACATCAATTTCCAATGGAAAGTCAAATGGGTTGCTGAATGCCCAGACATAAGAACACATAAATGACTCCACAAGAAAGGTGCCAGGCTTTGAACTACCACGTCAACAATGGACAATCCTGAATAGGATTCACACCTCCCAGGACGTCTGCCAGGACTTTGTATAAATGGGACACAGTCTCCTACTCTCAGTGGGACTTAGGAGTCCCACGTCAAACCATAAGATTACATTGTGACCGGCTGTAAGCTAAGGGCATATATGGTGATTTTTGATTTTTTTTAATATAAACAATGCTGCACTTCAATGTTTAGATGACCTAGGCATTGGTATTTAAACACAGATCTTTTCAACATTTATATTTTATTGTGTTTTACTAATCTAGGTGAAATGTTAATATATATTGCTAGTCCATGTATGATATGCCATATAATAAATAACCACATTCTAGACAATGAGCTAGAAAAACACAATAAAGAAAGTGAGTGTTAGCAGAACACAAGATAATTGGCTTCAAATAAGAGATCCCTGTAGGGATAAATTTCCCATACAATAATGATTTTAGCACTGTCTAGATTTGTTTTCCTAAGGAATAATGCCCTTCTAAATATTTTGGACTGCTGCTTGCAAAATTTTCGGATGCCTGATAGACAACAGATTCAGGAAGATTGATAGGGAAGACAGACAATTCTTCAGGGTATCTTGATCTCTCCGCTTCCCATCCTCACATATAATTGGTCCCATTCTTCAAATATCAAATAAAAAAAAAGCTCTGAACATACTCACACAACATTAAGTGTCATCCATTTCTCTAGTTGCTTAGTAACATTTTGTATTTTCCATTCTGTTAGATTTGCAACAAACACACCAGGATTGAAAGAGCAGGTGTTTGCTTTGATGGACAGCTTTCGAACCAGTTCTTTTTTATAATCAAGATATCCCATGTAATTATACTGAAAATATATAGAAACTGGGCTTCAGATACAGTTTTATTCCTAACTTCCACTCCAAAGATTTCTTCAATTACATATGCTTCCTCTCTGTACAGAAAACCAGAAAGTTGAACAGAGTCGTCTCCAGTCCTGTTAGATTATTTTAAATATATAGATAAACTGGCAGGCATTACCAAGTAAGTCTACATGGAACATCACACAAATGAACTTTTTATACAATAGGATTTCCTTTTTACCTCTCCCCTTTTTTTTAAATTTCACTGAGTCAGACTTTATTTTGATGATTATATGTATTTTCCATGGTCTTTTCTTAGGTATGGAAGTGACCTGCCATTGCCTTTTTTCCCCAAACTGAAATGTTTAACCTATGTAGACCTTAAATTTGTTGAAGTCTCATCTAAACATACTATTCAGGTCTAACCTGCTTAATATTGTTAAGCCTGAAAGATTTCAAAGCAGATAAGCAGGAGGCTGAGTATAGGGAAAATTCTGTTCTGGCTATAGTTTCTACTCTGTCTCTCTCTCTCTGCCCTCTAAAAAAATAAAATATTCCTACCCAATGTATACAACATGATATACAATTAGTCCTTGTTTAGCAAGTTGCAGTTACGATAGTGATGAAAAAGTAACTTTACAACCAATCCTCACATTTATGACCTTCACAGATCTGTAAAGGTGAAATAAGGTAAACACCAGTGTGGTTTCACTTAGCAACTGCTTTTCTTAACTACCAAGTTGCTAGTCCTACTTGTCACTAAAAAGGACTACCTGTAGTGCTTAAGTGCTTCAGGCTAGAAACTGGGGAACACTGAGTTCTAGTCCTGTCTTAGAAATGAAGCCAGCTGAATTACTTTGGGCGAGGAATCTATCCCTAGGAAGTGGGCAATGGTAAACCAAAAACATTGCCAAATAAACTGCAGAGGCTAGTCCAGATAGTCACCAGGAGTCAACACTGACTGGAAGACACAAAAAGAGTAATTTACATGTAATTGAAAAAAAGGTCTGTTTCCTTCTGTCTCCTTTTCAGTCCATGGAAAGCAAGGTATTTGCTAATCAATAAAAAAGGTGAAACTGTTTTTGATTACCTCAAAACAGTAATGGTTCTCCTTGAAAGATGGAGAACAAAAGCACATTTCATAGTATCCTAAAGAGAATTAAAGACTGCCTACAAAAATAAGGATGTAGCTGCAAAAAACTTCAAACTAACGAAGTTTAAAAATCCATCCAATCATGAAGCATACCAGCAAGAAGTTATACTACTTCTATCTTTAAAACTTGAAAAAAAATCTTTCCTAAAACTGGGTACTAAAACTTTTGTAAAAGTTTCAAGTCAAAAATGGAACCAGGCAATTACAAACGTCTTCTAACATCTAGTCTTTCATTCTCATTTATTCAAATTTCTATAAGTCAACCAAATGACTGGGCAGCAAACAATAATAAAACAGTTAAAAACAATTACAATATAATACAAATTAAATATATCTGGCAACCGAGAAAAAGATTTCAAGCTGCTTTCACCTGATTTCCTGCTCCACGGACAGAAAACTTATTTGAAGTAGAGTCACAATCATCTGAGAATGCAGCCGCGTGGCCTGGTTGCAATGGAGTGTTGTAAAGTTCAAGGATATCATCTGAAAATGCATCACAGACAATGAGAAACTGCTATTGCAAGCAAATGAAAACCCACAATTTGTCATTTTAACATAAATATCTCAACAGTCCTTTCCAATATTTAGAACATACGGTACATACTAACAGTGAATGTTATTCCAATAAATGCTATGCAAAGTTTAAAACTTGTATCTGTCTATCCAAAGAACTTTCTTACTTGAACAAAAGCTTATATGTCACAAAGTAAATATGTTTTAAAACTGAAGTGTATTTCTCAGGCAGTTTTGTAATACAATATGGTTATATGTAAAAAAAAAACACCATGTAACTTAATATGACAACCAGGGACGATGGTTGTGATGATGTACACTGCTCAGAATCACTTGTTGAAATTGTTGAGTATGGAAACCAAATAGATACTATTATATTTAGATGGAGGCATGCATCCAATAATCATGCATCCAACAATTTCAAAGTATTTTATTTTCAATTCATATTTGCACATGATAGAAATGAGCTCATTAGGCTAATATGAACTGCTATTTCAGCTAGAAATAAATTATTATCTTAATAAAAATTTATGTTCAGATATATATATGCCTCACCCATGGGTTGCCCATTTTAATCAAATAATTCTAGACAGCTAACAAGCATAAAAACATAACATCCAGATAAAAACAACAGAAAAAAGATTAAAAGATGCCAGATTAAAAGTCTCAATCAAGGCAAATGTACAATAACTTTGGTAGCACCCTCTCTACTTTTTCTAGTGTGCAGCTCCCTCCCCACTATTTTTCACTTAAATGTATTGGTAAAATTGGTTTTACATAGTCTCCAGAAGGTAAAAATTAAGGGTAGCTACAGTTTTATTTCTAAATGGCCTCATCTGCCTGAAAAAACAAATACACAAGTAGCCTGGAGATTGATCATGAGTATGCTATGGTCTCACGATGATAGCAGATAACCTCAATTGGCACGCTGGTGAAATATGATGGTTTCTGCTACCTTAGTAGATATTTTATGACTACCTAAAAGCACACAGCATATTCTACAAAAGAACAAATATGACCACTGGCACAAACAATTGGACGGTCTGGAAACAGAAATTATTATAAAGTAGGTTTTTGGTTTATAAGACATGATTAATTAGTCTAAACCAGAAGAACACTACATTTTTTTCAAGAGCTACCCTTGGTCTTTCAGTAGTGTGCCAGAGAAATACACTACAAAAAGTAGTAGGAGGGATCAGGATGAAAATTGCTATGATTTCTGGGAACTGAAAGGCAACTTATATGTCCTTAAGCATATTTATAAAGCAAAGTCCCACACCTTGTACAATCACATCATCATCCAAATAAATGGCCTTTTCTGCATTTGGGACCCAATTAGGTAGATAGAATCTTGCAAAGGTCAGCTAGAAAGAAACAAAAGGTGATAAAAACAATTATGATATGTCAAACATTAGATACCTGTAACCAAATCTCTTTGATACACCTTCATATATAGCAAGATTAAGTAGAAGTATTTGGGGCAACTTTAGTGAATAAGATGAAACTTATAAATTATTCCTTAGTAAATTACCAAAACTATCTAACTAAATCAGATACGCAAAAAAGAATTAAAGATTATATCAGTAATTATAGTAAAAGACAACTTCCTAAAAAGTGTAATAACTAAGTAAATATTCAAACATAAATTATCAGTAATGTTGAAAATGTTATATTTACAGTAAAATAAATCAGTAGTTCTTACCGGTTTTATGGAATTTGGCATCTTTGAGTCTATCTGCACTTTTCCAGCCAGCATACCAGGATCAAAATTCAAAATTTGGTATTGAACATTTTTTAAACTGGTTTTACTAAGCCATGACCTACAGAATTAAGAAATAGAAATATCAAATATTACTGAAATAGCTGGAGTGATATCCTACAAAATAATTCTTTGAATTTTCTCATCATGGTGAATCTTGTAACAATCAAGAATAGGACAGAGTATGACAATCTGAAATTCAGTATTACATAACAGAGACCCAATTTGATGTAATGGTTAAGGTATCATGCCAAAAACGGGTAGACTGTGCATTTTAGTCCCACCTTAGGCACAAAGTCAGCTTGGTGGTTTTGGGTCAATCACACTCAGTCCTACGAAAACGGAAAGGCCAAATCACTTCTGACAATATTACCAAGATAATTGCTTGAATCAAACTGACAGGAAGGAAGGAAGGAAGGAAGGAAGGAAACAGGTTAGGGCTGCACAAACTACAAAATGACCCGGAAGAAGTAACAAGTAGCACCTCTTAGTACTCACTAAAGCAGCTACTTTTCTTTTCAAGAATCAGGAAGCTAAAAAAAGATGTGGTTGCTTTAAAGGTCACCTCGGTCAAATAATTAAAGGTCAAGAATAAATAATTGTTTCTTAATCACTAAATATAAGAATAACTATCTTTTTCGAATGCATGATTGCATCTAAAAATCATCCTCTACTAAATAAGTGGGCAATAAAATTTCACAAATAGTTTTTACCTCAGACGGTCCACAGTGTCATTCAAAGTGACAATATGGAATGCAACATTGGATTTGGTGTTTTGCTGAATACTGTTCACAGCTGCAATTACACCACCAAGCCTTTCTTCAGATGCCGTAAGGACCACAGGAATTTCCTTGTCATTTTCTTTCACTACCAATCTTTGAGGAGCTTCAGGTATAAAATCTATTGGCTGAAATCTTAGTGGATTTGAATCTACAGATAATTATTTACAGCATTACATTTTTGACTTAGCATGTTGGGTAACTTCAGATTTTGTCTTATGTAAACCAAGGTTAATGGCACAATATGCAAATTCAGTTATGGTTTATTGAATAAACCATGGCTAAAAAAACCACGGTTAAACAAACCCTAGCTACTGTGATGTTTAAACCAATGTTTATCTCTTAATGATCACCTTTTATAAGGCAACAATTACTTTGAAGTTATTTCCAAACAATAAAATTTACAGATTGAAATCATGCCCAATAAAATCTATATTTTAAGTTATATTAAAAAAACTAATACAAAAGATGCAACTCTGACTGTATTTCAGCTCAGGTACCATGAAAATAGCCATCCTACACAGTGACTGTTTCATTTTTAACAACCTCTAGTGAGAAATGCTAAATAATAGTAAAAGTGGGCAATTACAAGGAATTGCAAATGGATGACAATAATCGTTAAAGGTATGGAATCAAAATTAAACAGTGCCACCATGCAATATGTTTTTTACAGAAAAAAAATCTTTCTTATAAAACATATACAAGGGTATTTATTTCCTATCAAATAAACATTTTTACTGAATCAGACATTAAAATAGAGAAATGGAGGAATACCTGATAATTCTTTTTTTAAGATATCACTGAGACCTAGGAAGTTGTGATGCAGCACTAACAGAAATATAACAACAACAAATATGAGGATGGTTATGTTTACTGCAAAGAAAAAAAGAAAGTGGTTGTTAGAATAACAGCATCTGAGTATTTTAACTTTTAAAAAATCATTATTTAGAGGAAAAATTACCTTTTCTTAATGACATTTTCTTTGTGGATGAAAAATCTCTTCACAGGTCTACAAAAAAGGAACATAACTAAGAAAGTCTCCACAAACATGCAAAGAGATCCAATAAGAGATAAAATATAATATTCACAGGTTAAGTTGTAATACTGTGCATAATGAGGAACAACATTTGGAGGAAATGTCAGATTTCTAACATTTGCCTAGAAAAAGACATTTTGAAATGTAATTTTCCATTGATCAGAGATATTTTTTATGAAAAACAGTTATTTATTATATTTACTAACTCAAGAATCAAACAAGGATAGGGTTCCTCCTAAATTCAGAAAGCAAATAAAAGACTGAACTAGAAAACAGAGCTCAAATTTACTATTTTAGGCCTACATTCTCAATGTAATTAAATTATCTGCTTCCAGTCTGAAGGCAAGTACAAAGCAATTTTGTCTACCCTGCAGCCAAGTTAGAGAGGGCTGACTTCATAGTTTGGTAATCCTAAATTACCTATTTTATTTCTTAGAATATTCTCACCACAAAGCATTTTGCACTAATTATGAGAAACATCTTCATTGTTGCTATTGCATTGGGTTTTATAAGCACATGCTACAAGCTGTAGTTTGCACATGTGAACTGTTTACATTCCAGTGAATTACACTCCCAAAAACCTTTACCATTCAATAAATGAGGAATTTGATGCTAATAAATATATTAATAAAGATTCCTGTTACATAACTTCTCAATTATCGTAATTAATCTGTAATCATATCCTGTACAATAAAAGCTATATTTAAATGAGATAATAGCATTTTGTTAGATCAAAAATTATGGGGCTTTAAGGTGAACAGATGCTTTACAGGATGCTTTACAAGAAGTCAATGTTATCAAAACTAATATTAAGAATTCAGGGAACTAAAATTGTATTCTATGTAAAAGAAATGGGAATATTTAGCACTAAGATAAGATAAGGGGTACATTAGTTTCTGAAAGAATGCCATTAGATCATAAAAAGTGCCTACTGGATCACACCAAGATCTATCATGATCCTCTTACATCACTTTTTTTCTAATCTAAAGAATCCCAAATGTTCTACCGCTGTTGTTTAATCATTGAATCACTTTTCTGTGTTTTTTCAGACCTAGGATCTTTATAGTGTGATTATCACAAGTGTACAAAATATTCAGGTGCAGACATACTGCCAATTTATGACAGAGTAATACAACGTTAGCTGTTCTTATTTTTTACCCCTTTCCTGCTGAATCTTAAAATGGAATTTACCGGGTATTTTTTTAATAGCTACTGCACATGGAAACAGCATCTGCTACAATCCTAAAATCTTTTTTTCTTGATTATAGATAGTTCAGATCTCTTCAATGTAGTGTATGTATGAAGTTGGAGGAAAGTATAGTGAATATATCTCACTTTATTTTAGCTGAAATTCAGCATGTATTTTCTCTATAAAATCCTTTTGGAGCTCACCATTTTTTATTTTTAACACCCTGAAAAGTTTGACATCATCTGCATCACAGGAATAGCTAATATACATACCGGTATTTAGTCAGGGGTTTGACAGCATCTGTAGGAGATGCTTCAATTTGGATACCTGTACTGACTTGGGGGAGGTAGCAGTAGCTTAAATGCCCTCTTCAAACTTCTATATGGTTTATTCCCACAGTGCCTTTCAAATTATCAATATCTGTCAATATTATAAGTTCACATTTTAAGATAATTCATTGTCATATAAAATTTGCTCAAGACTAGAATCACCATTCAACCATTATTAACTGTTAAGAAAAAACTGGACAGCCATTTGTCCGAAATGGTATGGCAGGCATGTCCAAAGTCCGGCCCGCGGGCCATTTGCGGCCCACGGCCCGGTTTAATCCGGCCCTCGAACAGCCCTCCCTGCGCTATGTAAATGCGGCCCTCCCACGGCCCTCCAGAAGTCCCATGAGAGAGAGAGAGAGAGAGAGAGAGACAGAGAGACAGAGGCACTTGCACTTGCACTTCTGTCTCTCTCTCTCTCTCATGGGACTTGCCCCCTCGCAGGGCTCCTCATTGGCCCTGCGCCCGGGTGTCCCGCCCCCTGGGAGAAGGGCGGCCAGGAAGTCCCTTTCCCAGGCTGGCCCCGTCCCAGGCACACGTGGCTGGGGAGCCATGCGGGGAAGCCCCGGGATCCCCGCTGGGAGCAACCCCCCGGAGCCTTTGCTGAGTGGGCCAGCCCTCCCGTAAGCCGCAGCCCCGAGAGAGCAGCCCCTGCGATGTCCAGCTGGCGCAACCGTTGGCCAAGCAACAGCAGAGCCGGAGATGGAAGGTCAGTGGCAGGGGGGGAGGGAGGGAGCTGAGTCCGCAGAGCACCGCCGCGAAGTGGCTGCGGGGCAGGTGATTCGCCCCCCCAGCTTACTTGTTCCAGTCTCGGCTGGGGCATCGCTTCCTGGGCCGCTCCCTGGGCAGCCGAACCAGCCACATGTCTCCCCGTGCTGGGCAGCAGTCATGGCTGGTGCGGCGGCCAGCGGGAGCATCGCTCCCCGGGAAGCCGAACCGGCCACATGTCTCCCCAGCCCGGGCCGGACGGCAGTCAGGCATGAAGCTCGCCTGGCTACCGCAGGGCTCTCCGCCGCCCGGCCCCA